AATACAAGTGCCTTTAAACATTTGCAAAACTTCTCCACTTCCTTCCTAATAAGAGAAATACAAGGTTACATTATAGGGGAATATGATTTTTGACTTGTCAATATTAAGGTTACATTAATTAAGGTTACATTACAAGTTTGAAAATACTCAATTTATATTTATGAAGGTATAAGAAAGCAGATTGTCTTAGTTGCTGGTAAGAGTACAAATTGATGATGGTAAGAAACTTAATGAATACTTTCTATGTCTCAGTCTTTTTTTTTATAAACACTACACACTTTTTTATTTATTGTAGTTACCTTATGCAGAAAATACCATTATTTCTCCCATATTAGAATGAAGAAATAGAAGGAAATTAAATCAAAGGGAAATTGTTTGTAAATGGCACAGTCAAGATTTAAGGCAAGCTAAGATTTATTTAAACTTCTACTTCTTTTGCTGAGAGGGGCGTCATAGTGTTTAAATTGTTTCTGTGCCCAAAGATTTACAGTACATAATAAAATTTCAGTGCCCCTTGAGCCAATGAATTTACTTCTAGAAAAACATCCTTCAGTTTTTCTATTTTGTGTCAAATAGGTGCAAATAATAATCAGTATTGCTTGGAAATTGGAAATAATCTAAGTATCTACTGTAGGGGACTGGTTAATAAATTGAGATTCAGTCATGCCAAAAAATACAAGACCATGTTAAATAGAGTTAGATGTAATTCTATGCAGTGATATGAAGGTTATCTTTAAAAATTAAGCATAGTAAAGAAAAAAGCAACATATAGAAAAGTGCATATGAATGCTCCTAAGTGCAAAGCTACGAAATATAGACATTTATGTTGTTGTATTTATAGAATATTTTGGGGAGGAGTCTCAATTTTGAATTCTGTGCAGTGCATGTCAATACCCCCCACTCCTGGGTAGCCTCTCATCTGACCCCATTTCTTGATCTCCTCAATGACATTTTCTTCCCCTGCCCTCTCAAATGAACAGTCCTTATCAGCAAAGTCTATAGCTTCAACTGCGTTTCCAAATATTCCCCTTGCTTGCTTGCATTAGCAGTGAGGCTCAGCTCTCCCCAGGATCGGAAGCTTCCCCAGCTGCCTCTCAGTTGCTGGCTGTTTTCTCTGCCACATTTTCTACCATTGGTCCAGCACCTCTAGCTAGCACTGTGTGAAATCCTGTATGTATTGAGTCATTCTTTTCCCTCCTTGAGAATGTAGGTCCTTGTCTCAGTGTCACTGTCCCTGGTACTGTTCTTGTGATGATTATAAATGGTCTGTCAGTATCGTTTGCTCTCCTTCAGCGATCTTGCCTTGCAGTTTGGTTCATCCTGAGACATTTCCCCTTAACCATTCATTTAAAGCAGTGGTTCTTCAAGCTCAGTCCCCACACTGACATCAGCATCATTTGCACCTATTTAATTGGACCCAATCTCTGACCCAAAACTCTGGGACAGGAGGCAAAATCTGTGCTTTAAGAGGCCCAAGTTTTCCAGGCAATACAGATAAGTATGCTACTGTGTCAGATCCTGCTACTGCCATTAGCAGTGACCCTGAGTCTCAACTTCAGGCATCCTCCAGTGTCCCTGCTGCATTTGTCTTCCAACCTACTGGACTGACTCCTGGCATTTCTAAAATCTTCAATCCTGTGGCCACAGTTGATTCCGCCATTTTGTAACTTGTCACCATCTTTTTTTTTCCGTTTTACTTCCTCGTTTTCCCTTTATCCATCCACCATTTGACGGCTCCTTAACATTTCTCTTGCAAATACTACATGTAAAGAGTTGGTAGATGCAGTCAGCCCCACCTTCAAAGCATATCCAGACTCTGACTTTTCTTCCCCCTCCACTGCAACCGTTCCGGTCAAAGAACAGTCATTTCCCAGCTAGGATGTTGCAACTGTTCTGAGTCAGCTCTCGGATCTGTTGCAGCTGTTGCCCCCACAGAAGCCAGAGGAATCCTGTCACCATCCTAGGTTGTGCTGCACAAAATTTACCATGCTGCTTCTACACAGCAGAAGACAGAGTCCTCGGGAATGAGACTGGGTCTTCTGGCCTTCCCTGGTTAGGATGTCACTTCCCCCTTCGCCTCCTCTCTCATCCACTGCTGGGTCTGATTCCTTTTTGTGCATGTGGAGAACTTGGCACCACCTGGCATACCCTGAGTTCCTATTTGTCGGTGTTTCCTGCTGAGACATAGGAAGTGTCATAAAGGCAAAGGCTATTCCTGTTCTGCCTCAGTTTCTAGAACCCTACCTGACATGAACCAAGCATGCAATGATTTTTTTTTAAATAATCAGAGGAAGAAATAAATAAAAGTGGCTTTTGTGGTAACAATATCTTTTCTGTGACTGCCTCTCTTTGAAAAATAAAATGGTGTAGAAATATTTCAATAGTGTGAAAAGAATGAAAAATTGATCATGTAAACAATCTTGATGTGTCATCTGAGGATGCTTGGTGCCTATGGTTTAGAGCTTTAAATTTATTTGTCTCTGTCATATTTTAATGTAAATAGCCCTAGGCTGTACTTATTCCTCCATGGCTAAAAGACAGTGATATTATCCTTCACTGCAGTTTTTTTTTTTAACCTGATCTGAATCATATATTTTACTTAGTAGTCACTGCTTTACTCTCTTTTAAAGGGAGAGATGAATAAGGAGTGAGAAGGGACAGAGTTTAAGAATATGTAAATATTTCATTCCAAATTGTTTCTCATCAGATGGTTTTAATTCTTTGGGTTTTTTTTGCCTAAATAAGTTATTATATTGCTGACCAAAATTAGTGATTTTTTAAACTCTATAGTGCCTTACATATTTGTGTTACTGTTAAACAGACTATTGTTATTTTACTATAAGATACATTTTTCTGGGGCCACGGGTTTAGCTCAACAGTGTTAAGTGCCTGCTTGGCAAATGTGAGGTCATGAGTTCGATTCCCAGTACCCCCCAACCCCCCCCCAAAAAAAAGATACGTATTTCTCTTTTTGGCCTTTATTTGTTTAGGGCAGTGTTAATGGGATCAAATGCTTAAAGATTAAGTGTAATACGGTGTATTACTGTCATCATTGCATTTTATGTTGTCCCAGGATTGCCAGTAAAAGCCTCAAAATACTGGGCTGTTCATCTGAACTTTTTGTATAAATAGTTTAAGAAATAGAAGCAGTGATACATGGAGCGGAGAAGGCAGTTGTGAGGATGTGGCGTAGACCTTTGAAAAAGTGGTCACATTTTGATTAAAATATGCCTGTGGTGGTATGGAAAGGTGAAAAAATCCTAAACAAAAGAAAGCCTGGCATTTGCTTTGGTTGTTCTCCTTGCCTAAAATTTCCACTCTTGTTATCTAAGAAAGTGAGACGAAATGTGATAAAGAAAAAGAGTTCTAGGTGGTAAAGAATGGTGTGGGCCAAAGGCTCCTTCAAATATTCCCTTTTGCTGGAAGCTTTTGTAGGTTCTTGCTAAGTGAGCACTGACTGACCTCCTCCCCTACGCTCCCACCAAAGCTTGTGCCTTTCTGCCACTGCACCTGTGCTGTCTGCCTGCTCTGGAGCTTGCCCAGTTGTACTCCCCTGATCCTTCTTCCCATGCTAAGTGTTTCATGAATATGCATGAGAGAGAAAGGAGAGGAGCTGGGTTGCATTGGATGGAGGATAGAGAATTCCACATTTGGGGGTTTGGGTTTGTTCCCCAGGCAGCAATGAGGTTGTGACCAGAGAAGCCCTGATGGGGGCTGTGATGCTGGAGGATTCAGTGGGCTGGGGCTCTGGTCTCCAGGACCAGAAGATGCAGAGCAGGCTTGGAAGCAGGGAAGCCAGCAGTTACCAGCCTGAGAGTCTGGACGCTCACTCATATCAGCGCAGGGGAAGAAAGTGCCCCCGGTGGTGTCCAGCCCCGCTGACCAGAAGGTATTATTCTTTTCAAAATAAACACCCTGGCCCGTTTCAGGGGGAATATTTAAGGTCAGCAGGGCCCTCCCTCTTCCTCATCTACAACTCCCCCTGAAGTCAAAAGGAATTGGATGTGGCCTTGGAAGATTGTTAGATCAAAGATGCTGAAAAATGGAACATTGCCTCCATTTGAGGGATGAGATGCTGACTTTGGAGTAATGAACATTTCCCCTTATTTTCGGGAATGGTTTATTAAAAACGGATTTTTAAATAACTGCTTTTGTGACCTTGGAACGTGGCCCTCTGAGAGCAGCTTACCATAAAAGAAACGGTTGTCAGCTTGCTTTTGGCGCCTGCCCCTTCCTAACAACAGAAAATTTGCCCTGCACCTGCTCCAACTGGGTTCTCAGTGATAAGCATCTTTCAAGCCCAGAAAATTGTAGTATCAAATCTCAGCCCCAACTGTGAGGCAGCACCATCATCAGCTCCTCGCTGAGAGGCGTTCCTTTCCCGGTTCCCAAGAGAGGAGTTTTTCTCCCCTGGCCCCCTTTTCAGCCTGAACTCTGACCTGAACCCTCCTCTTAGCTCCCAGCATGCATTGCTCTGGGTGCTGATTGTGACCCAGCCCGGCTTACCCAGTCCTGCTGTGGGCTCATCAGGAGGTCAGGCGTCAGTAGCCTTGGGGTCACTGTGCTGCCTGATTCCAATAATGAGCACATTTATCTGTGGAGAGGAAGAGAAGGCTTCTTCTCCACAGCCCATCACTCTCCTCCAGAAACAAATACTCAAGTCACATTTGGTAGTTTTATCTGTGCTCTGGTAAACACATGTAAATGTTGCCCAGTGTTCACCAAGTTGCTTTTAACCACACCTCTCTTCATAAATTAAATGCTTTGTGGTAGCTCATGATTTCTTTCAAGAGAAATAAACCTGTCTCACTGCTGGGAAAGAGCATGTATTTTAAGTTAAATGCATGCTAAGGATACTGTCGTAAGAATTTTGAATAAGAATAGCAAGTAGTATTTAAGTATGCGAGTATATTTAAGTGAATTCTGATAGATTTAAGTATGTCATTTTAAAGGAAAAGAAATGCTAATGAGACATTCTAACTTTAGCCTCTTCCTCTTAGGTTTTTCAAACAGGCCAAAGTCATTAAAAATATTCCTTAACCCACAAAGTCATAAAAAAGAAGCTTCCCAGGTCTACTATGAGAAAGTGGAGCCTCTACTGAAGCTGGCGGGGATAAAGACTGATGTGACAGGTAAGTCATTTGCAGTATAGCATTCGCCACTTACACACACACACACACACACACACACACACACACTCTCTCTCTCTCTCTCTCTCTCTCTCACTCTCTCTCTCTCTCTCTCTCTCTCTCAAGCAAGCTAACTGGAATTCGTTTTTCATCTCAACCTGAGGAGCTACCTACAAAACCCAAAGCTTGTCTAGATTTTCCCTAATCTACTACAGCCCAGTCTAGATTTATTTGTTTAATTGTGCTATTTTCTTAAAATCTCAATAAATTTTCTTCCAACCTTTTCCAGACTTTAACAGTTACTTGGTGTGATTTTTAAGGAAACTGTGCACTTTTCAGTATCTTCCTAAGGCCCTTGCTCTTTCCAGGTGATTTCTGTGGTTGACTAGTTTACACAGTAGCCTGCCTGTCCCACGGAAGCTTTCCCTGGGTTGTTTTTGTTCTGACTCTGACCCCTGCTGGTTAGGTCAAAACTAAGCACTCAGTCAACTGCTGACTTTAGTTGAATTTGGAGAAACCAGAAACTTAAATTTATTGTCTTCAAGACTGTGCTTAGCTTTGTGTGAAGGAAAACAGAAATTTGAGAATGAAAAGCTAATAGAAGATTAGTAATGTCCTCTTAGGCTTTTTAAATTTGGTGACCAAGGCTGGGAATATAGCTTAGCAGCATAAGTGCTTACCTGGCGAGCACAAGGTTGTGAGTTCAATTCCTGGTACCCAAATAAATAAATAAATGATAAAAATAAATTTAGTGAGCAAATTCCTGTGCTGCCTTGAGACATCCTGCAGCTAGAGACCAGCAAGTGTTGCTGCTACCAACGATTGAGTCACCTCACTTTCATTCTATGGAGCTTTTCTAACACAGTGGAAATTTGCAAAAATTGAATTGATGAAGAATACTGAGTACTAATCATACTCAGGAGAGAAACCTAAAATACACTAGAGATTCCTAGTCCTGGTGAGAAGCGTTAAGGATCCAGAAGTGACCTGGCTCTGCTCTGAAGGAGATGTGACTCACAAAGTAGATAATAAAGTCATTGAAGTTCAGTGCCTTGATGGGATGGGACAAAAGGAAGTTCCTAAAAGAGTAGAAGGTTTGTGGGAAGGTCAGTCAGCTGGAAAGATACTATTACAGTGGAGGACAAAGAGAAACTACCATGCAAAACTCAGGAAGGATGCCTCAATTAGAAAACGGCTGTATGTACTAAGTTAGCCTTCCATGTTTGTGATCTTTGGCTTGCAAGTGATTTACAAGGACAAAAAATTTCTGTCTGTCTTTCTACAAAATATTTTCAAAGATTGGCTGAAGAAGTTTGGGATTCTTACGTGGATGAGAAATTAAAAGTGTTGAGTAAACGTATTCAACAACTCAGTCACATCAAATATGTGGTATCTGTCATGTATGTACATTAGTTTTACACAGATACTAATATAGGTGTATCATTCATTCAAGAGTCTCTTGTTGAAACCTTACATGGGAGCCCAACCTGTATTCCCAGATACTCTGCAGGCTGAGACAGGATAATCACCTGAACCCAGGAGCCGAAGAAACCACACCAAAAAAACAAAAACAAAAAACAAAAAGCCTAAAACAAAGCAGAGAACAAGGAGAAAGATAAAGAACACTTTCTTGTTAAATACTTTCTCCATCTTAAATATTATAGCAATGTGCAGAATGCAAGATGAATAATCTACCGTATACAATCTTGAGTTACTTTTAGGGCATTAGAGATTCAACCAGGTACTTAACATATTTTAATTATGGCATACATGAAAGAACTCTGGTGTCTCAGGATAATATTAATTTTGATTGGAGGGCTCAGAAAATTATATAAAATGGACAGTTTTATAAAGGAAAGAAAGGCAAAAGAAAAGAAAGTGTACCTGCATGTTCCAGTGGAGAGCCAGAGTGTTGAATTTGTGGTATCGAGGGATTTGTTTCATATCCCTGCTTTGTGGCTTGGACTTCATCTTGAATCTCATTCCTTCCATCATCATCGAACAGCTGCCAGTAAAACTAGACCTTCTCTATTCATCTCTAATGGCATGGAGGGAGGGGTTACGCACGTGCACCACAGAGGGAGACCCTCGGGCTTTCATCCTGAAGATGGATTCCCATTTCTCCTTTCGCTAACCGTGCTAATGTAGTATGTGCTATCAACCTAAAACTCATTTCTTGAATTGCTAAGACTTCCTGGAAACTGAGGCCGGACTTCCTTTTCCTGAAGGCTGAAGATGTCTGAACTGAATGTGGACTCCATCTGGGAGAGAAAAGGGCAAAGTGACTTCTGAGAAGTTCGGAGCCCTGATGCAGATGGACCTTTATGCTGTTCTCAGCAGTTTATTCATTATGCATCGATCCACAGTTGGGATAAATATTTCATCATCGTGTTGTAACCTGGTTTGGCAAAGATGATTGCAACCACGGAGTAAAAATTAGAAAAGAAAGAGAGTTGGAGAGAAGGGAACCAGGTTACAAAGCCAACACTAAGGCAGAGGAAATGACAGGAATGTGCTTTCCTCCCTAGAGTACTTAGTGTACTCTAAGGTTTTCCCCTAAATTTCTAAATATTATTGAATGTTACATTTAGTTTAATGTGAAGCAAATTAGAAAACTTTGCATAAAGCAAATACAGAATTTATTTTTGTGTTTGTGCAGAATAGCTCTTGGCGGCCTAACACTCCTCCTACAGGCAAAATTATAAAATTACATCCTTCGCTTATGAAACCATTTCAGTATGTGTTCTGGGTTGGCTAGATATTTACATTAAAGTTTCCTATTTTGTGTAGACTGAATAAACACAGGGGTACTTGAAAGTTTCAGTCTTCCTGCCTGTACTACAATGTGGTCTTGTGCAACACTTTCGTATATATAAAGTACAATAGAAATAAGGTTTTTGGTTTCATTTTCCTAACATTCTGTAATGAAATTCAATTTGTACTTTATTTGAAAGAGAGATACATGAGCAGTGCATGGGTGCATCTCTTCTGCATGTCCATTGTTTTAAAGTAATTTTTTTGTACATTAGTGAGGTTTTGTTTTGTTTTGTTTGATACAGGGTCTCACTCTGCTTTTCAGGCTGGCCTTGAACCCACAGCAATCTTTCTGTCTCCAAAATGCTGGGACCACAGGCATGTGCTACCACATCCATGAGTTCTAATGTATTATAAATAACACAAGAATTCTATGTGATTATTAGTTCATTACTAAATATGGTGTTGTAGCAACATGAGGGTTAATATATATATATATATGTGTGTGTGTGTGTGTGTGTGTGTGTGTGTATAATTTTCTCATGAATTCCTTTTAATAATGGATTTTAATAATGGATTCCTTAATATGTATTTCTTTCATTTTGCATTGTGCTGAGATCCTAACTACTGAATATACATCATCTTTTGACTAAAATTTAAGCTAACATTGCATCTGACTTGTCCCCTGATACCACCTCCAATGTAGTTTACTGCATAGTGACATCAGAAAAATTGCTGAAAGGCCTAGAGAAAACAAAATTATTTTTTCTGCTAACCTGTTTTGTATAAGGATCAAAGAGGAGCGTGAATGATAAATCCATGCTGGTATATGATGTAATTTCTTTCCCTCATTCCCAAAGTAAAGCAGACTTCACAGATTGTACATTAAATGTGTGAGAAGTATTTTGAGAGGTTCTTGGTTCATAGGAAAACTCATAAGACCATAAGTGAAAAGGTGAAGGCAGCAGGGAGAGGAATCAGCCTGCGAAGTCCTGGGACTATAGCTCACTCTCCCCATGCAGCAGAGCACGTCATGCAGGGCACCTTGAGGGCACCCCAGCCAGTCCCAGTGGGCATGCAGCAGAGGCAGGATGCTGTTACTGGGTACTTCTATCAGAAATCTTAGGTTCCGGTTTACTGAGCCTTTGTCCACATTAGACAAGGTACTTTCTGTGGGCTCACTAAATGTCCTTTCTTTTGAACTGATCCAGCCCAAGCTCACCTAGCTCCTTGATCAGGACTCTGGCTGTATTGCAAATCCACCTGTCCCCTGGGCCTTGGTCCTTTGTGGTAGACATAAACTGCGTATCACAAAGAGCTTGAGAGCTCACATTTGTCATCATTAGCTACTGGAGCTAAGGTTGTCCTTTGTAGTAATACACAATGAGTGTATCTGAGCTTGCATGTAAGTCATTGAAACATTTACAGACAGATAACATACCTATCTGCTCTTGATCTCTTTTGTCCATCATGTGTGCATCCACTTTCTTTAGTCACTCTGTGCATCAACAAAGTAATCAACCTTATCAGGGTCGTTGTCATTACCATGGACAAAGATGCTTTTCTGTATGCACCTGCAATCTCTGCCAGCACAGAGCCCATGGCAGTGCCTTCTCATCAAATAGTTTTATCTCCTGGGCATAACTGTCCAGTAAGTGGATGTCTTCATTTTGTTTCTGCTTTGGGTCAGTTTGCTCCTTTTTCTTCTAGCATCATGCTTTTAACTTAGAATAACTATCAAATCTCTTTGTGTTTGCTCTCTTTGGCTCTTTATGGCTCTATTTGAAGCTCCTCATTCACTGGAAGTGCCTCTTCTCATTCCTGATCTCGCCGAGCATAGAACTAGGCAATGTGATGAAACGGAGTTACAAAAGGTGGTGAACCTGTGGCATGTGTACCACAGCAGGCTGTTTGTATCATTGAAAGGTCTAAGAGGTTCCCCATCACTGTTCTAAGACATTCCTCCTTTCATTTTTGCCTGCATTTTAATAAAAATCTGCACAGTAACTTTCATGCATAATAATACAGCTAGAGAGACAAAATTCTATGTGAAAGATTGTTTTATACCCTTTAAATAATTGAGTCATACGGCCAAGCCTGTTTTCAGCACTCTCATGTGAGTTGAGTTGAAAATTTATCCCCGGAGACAAGAAAGAGTCCTCTAGGATTCTTGTGAGGAAATGGTATCATTAAATATGTTTGCAAAAGTTATTCTGGCTACAGTGGAATGGAAGTTGGAGGGAGACTGGAAAAGAGGCTGTTGTAGTGAACACAGGAAGGACACTAGGACCAGGTCCAGGACACTGATCTTGAGGGATGGAGGGGTATGGCGGCATCAGTAAAGGTGAAAATATTAGTGCTGGCCGAGGACAGGGTCTGAGTGGATGAAAGCAATAATCTAGGACAGCATCATTTTCCCATCTGAGGGAGCGGGTGTTGGAACACACAAAATAACATATGAGAGAAAAGGTATTTGAAGCAGGACATTTTGAACTTGCAGAGTCTGAAATACCTGTAGGACAGAAAAAAAAATGATGTTTCAGTATCTCAGAATTTTATCACTGAACCAATAATTTTTTCCTAAGTCCAAATCAAATCACATCTGGTTTTATTTCAAATACAATACCAACATTCAATGATAAACAATATTACTGTCCTCAAGTTTGTCTCCCTAAGGGAGAAATATTTTTTGCTGAAGAGAGGGGGATCCCAAGAGGAGGAACTGTGTCCAAAGGCCAGTGAACAGCAGAGGCTCCAGATCCCCTGCACGGCAAGGGCGTGTCGCGCATCTCCAGACTGGACTCTTTGAGGCCAAAAGCATTTTTCATTTTGATCATTCTGCTTTAATATGTTTTATAACTGTGGGTACTTAAGTTTTGTTTGCTTTTTCTTTTTGTTCCACCTCAATAATTTTATTTAACTTACGACATGTCACATGAAAATTCTGCTCTCAGAGTATATTACTGTATAGTCAAATTCTACCTGAATGATACAAAACTAGACTTTTAATGTTTTTCTAAATAAAAATAATATTCAGCCATAACATGATTCTAAAGCCAATTTTGTATTTTATTTGAAAGATTTACCAAAGTAAGCTTTGGTATAAAATTAAGATGATACACTGATTCTCAACATACATATTTCTTCAGACTGTCCTTTATTGTGAGGGTTTGAGTGTGTGTGTGTAAGTATAAGACATTTTCCATTGTATGGTTTCAACCACTTGCTGCAGTCAAAAATGACACATCTTTTATGGTAACGTAATCTTCCAAGTTTATTAATATTAATATTTTATATTTAATTTTATTTTCTTCTGATTAGAATTTAATAGTGAATGGCTTTACCCTGTGAGTGTTAACAGCTTTTGAATAAGCTATGAGAGAATTACAATGTAACACTGCTGGATGCAGAATGATTCCCTTAGACACCAAGACTAATAATTTTTAGCAATATCTAAAAGCATTATAGGAAAAGCTTGAACCATGCTGGCACCAGGGACAGACAGGCATGAAAGATTAATGTAATCTTGCATATAATGATGCACATTCTTACACAAAATTCCCATCTGCAGTGTCATGTCAGTCAGCAGAAATCTTTGATGGGTGGGTACAGCTGGCCTGCCTCTCCTGGCAGGACTGTCCTAGGAAATGCTAAATGTGGTTGTGATGCTTGGTGCCATCTGCAGTGTGCCTGTTTATCCTGTCTTCACTGGCATTTGCAGTACTGAGCAGGGCATCAGTGACTGTGGAGACAGCGATACAGTGTGACAGATTCATTTCCTCGGAGGACCCAGGCTCTGGTAGCCCTGTGTGCTGCTCCCCTAAGCTGAGTCTCTTATCACTGGTGTTGCCTTGACTTTATATTTTCACATCCAACTCCTCCTCTTTTTTTTTTTAAGCCTAGCAGTTCCACATACACATTCCTCTGGTATGTAAATCTTACATTAACCTTTCCTCTAATTTATGCATGTAACATTGCCAAAGCGACTTAACATTGACTGTCCGATGCCAGCTGATAGGCTGTATTTTCAAAATACTTCTGCTCCTCAGCATCTGATTTAAAGGACTTATGTCTTATTTAGCGAATACTAAACAGACAGGCACCAAGATTAATTCTCTAAGCACTTCGCGTTGGGTATCCTCAGATGATTTATGAAATTGGAACAAATGTGTGATCATCTTTTACATAAAGCTATAAAACACACCAGGCAACTAACACTTAATCCTCTTTCTTGTGATTAAAATATAAATATTCAAGAATAAACGTTGTTTTGTGACCTGACCATATGTTAATCATATTCTTTTGCCAAACCAGATTAGAAAGATATAGATGACTATTTGAGACACTCACTTTTGTGTGTGTATTTTTTTTTAACAGTAACAGAATACAAAGGCCATGCGCTGTCCCTGCTTAAGGAATGTGAGCTCCAGGGATTCGATGGGTAGGTTCCATTATTACTCCCTGTATCTGTATGACTTGTGTCAGTAAATGCTTCTGGGATTTCTTTTTAGCTACCTAGTTGGGATTTGTAATTTTTAAACGTTTGTGATGAATACAATTAGGCTGTTTTTTCATACCTGTGTAATAATCTGAATGATACTACAGTGTGGTGTCTACCTTTCAGGATCTGGCACCAAAAGCAAAAATGGAAATCTAACTATAAATTAGTTGGAAAATCACATTGGGAACTACTCAGTGCTTACTTAATGTGTACCCATTTGCATTTATAACTCCTAATTTCTTGGCTTTTACTATGTATCTAGAAAAACACTGATGGATAATCTTACATTGGTCCCATGGAATATTATGCAATAATCCTGTTTTGCAAATGTATTGATAGTTTTAATAGTTACCAGTGGTTAAATTAGCTCTGATTTATTGGGATAGATATTTTATAATCAGAAATATATTAATTTCAGAATGAAGAAATGATGCTAATTTTAATTATCTCATAATATAGCAACTATGGAATAGATGTGTTATTCATAGTAGACATTGGAAATTATTTGCAATGTATTGGTAGAGAATGCAGAGATTACTCACTGGGACATGAATATTAAAAAAATGGTATACATTGAATAACCCTTTTTAAAAATCAGGTGAATTGGTTTGCTAAAATTGATTGAGTGATACTAAAATGTATTCATTTAGGGAAGATTTTTTTTTTTGCAAGAGTTTAATATTTGAGGGCTTTTTTTTTTTTTTCTTTTGATACCCGGGGATCGAACTCACCAAGTACTTACCCCTGGCTCTCATGTCTGAGGGCTTAAAAACTTGGCAAGTGTTGCATGGTGATAGGCAGGGAGCAACAAAAGACAGAGTCAGGAAAGTTTCTGGAAAATGAAATGCTTTAACATTCCAAAGATATGCTAGGATGTATAGAGGAAAGTTATTCAATCGGAATGGACCATTGCTAGAACTGTTTTTCAGAAATGCTTAATATGTCTTAATAAGAAAAAAGTGTCTGGTGAGGATGAAAGAGGTTGGTAGGTAAAAGATGATTATGTAAAAAGACAAGGGACTCAACTGACATGGCAATATTATACAGAAATCAAGGATCAAGAGGAAGAGGTAGGTAATCGCTTTACAACTTTATGTGTAGAACTACACAGATAACACTTAGGAAACTATCTTGAAGAAATGTTTAAGAAAAAGTAGCTGAGAAAATCATGCCCACAATCCACCTATTTTAATATACTGTGTGATTCTAAAACCCTGAGTGCATTACAAAGGAGTCCTTGCTTTAAAACATGATTATATAAATCTCATAAGAAATATCACAGATATTAAACCTGGACTTGCCCACCAGCGAAGTGAAATATGTTCTGCAGAATAGGATATCTATGTCCAGGTTCTACTCATAATTACACTGTGTGGCATGAACTAAGAAAAACTTTGCAGAATGAAAAATGAGTTTTGCTCGATGCACTGTGATAATGTTCTTTTTACTTGAACATTTTAATTCTTATTTCTGGGCTGGGGATTTAGCTCAGTGTCATTCTGGCAAGTGTGAGGTCATTAGTTTGATCCCTGGTACCAAAAAAATTTCTTTTCTCATTTCTCATGTAGATATTATTATTTTGCACTTGGGTGCTAAACAATATATAGATCCTTCAATTATTACCCCTGGTATTCTGACACCAAGTTATTTGGCCTGATTCTGTTACATGAATTGAATCCTGTGAATTTACTGTTTGCAAACCCTGTAGTGTGCTGTTTTACTTTGGACTAATGGTAATCTGAAATTTCTGTTACAAATGTCCTATGTTCCTAAAGCCTTTCAATAGTATATGTTCATAGGTTCAGTTTTTCTGGTAGGAGTTGATGTAGTGGTTGTGATAGTTCTTTTAATAAAAGGATAATTTTAAATACCTGTACTCAGAAATACATAAAGAAGATGTGGGGAGATGAATTGTAATGTAATTTTTTGCTTCAGAATAATAATTCACTGAGAAGCCCAATTGTTTGAAAGTCAGTATTCTACACAGATAAATTCTCTAACCACAAACCAGTTTAAAGCATGCCTTTAGAAGCAGTTTTCAAAAAACTTATAGAAATGATTTAAGGATGCTATGAGGTGACATAAAGTGCTACTTTGGGGCTGGGATAGGAGCTGAATCTAGGAGCTCAGATATGTTAAACAGGTGCTGTACCAACAAGCTACATCCCCAGTCCACGATTATCTTTTTAAAATTTTGATCCAGGTCTTCCTAAGTTTCTCATGCTAGCCTCAAACCTTGCAATCCTCCTGCCTCAGCTTCCTGAGTAGCTATAAGGCTATTTCATTGTGATGACAAATAGAGTCGCATTCCTTCATGAAGTAAGCCATCTCTGACTGTAGTCAGGAGCTATTGATAGGACGTGATTGGACCATTGCTAGGGATTTCTTACAGTTCCTAGACACAGGCTAGGGAGGTTTCGATCAAAGAGTCAGTGTATATTATCTGGCAAAGCAAAAACAATCTGGAAAATAGTGTTTAAGAAATACAATTTCCTAAAATTTTAGAGTTTAAAAAATCATTTTTTATACTAGAGAGACAATGCAATATTTACAAATGTGAGTCTGATTTATTTCACTTAGCAGTACAGTCTCAAGTTGCCTGCACTTCTGTAAAAGCTTCAAGAGCAATCTTTTTTTATAACTGAGTAATAAAAAACTGAAAGAGTAATAAAATCCAAAATACACAATAGAAATAATAAAAGAAAGTACTCAAAAGGACAGAGCTACAGGGATAGAGGAAAGGAAAAAAGAAAAAGACTATATGTATGCTGGTAAACAGATATAAATTTATGTATGTAAATGTATGTTAGATATGTAACTGTACACTAACCTCTCTTAGTTCATCAAAAAGAACAGTTTGTGCTGTTGTTATTTGACTGATCACTTTTGTATCTAGATTTTGTCACCTGAACAACTAATTCTGAGATAACAATATACAATATATTAAATAGTATTAATTCCCTGCTTTTTTTCTTTCCTTTTTTGAAATTCTGTATCATTTCAATCCTTTTGTTTTTCTGTTTTGCTTTTTAAAATAAAATTTTTTTGTCTTTTTCCTTTTTATCAGTACTGGGGATCGAACCCACGACTGCCTGCTTGCAGCGCAGGCGCGTATGCCACTGAACTAAATCCCCAGCCCCCTAAAATAAAATTTTTAAAAAATCGAGTTACATATGTTTCTGTGAAGACATATTGTGACACGATTCTAAAGCCAACAGAAACAGCGTGTCAGTACTCATGACAGCTCCTTTTCCACTGCAGTGTATTCCAGCAGGCGCTCAGGATCCACTGCTAAAACCTGGAGGGGTTTCAGAGTCCGTATCACCCCCTATTTACACTGGGTGGGTGTAAAGAGGGGTCATGTCAAGGAAAAGGGAGGAGTAAAATGAGGTGATATACTTTAAGCACAGACAGGTGCATTTGGTGATCTGAATACAGTTAAACCAACCTGTAGCTTTTACACAATTGTAAATATACTAACTCTTTGCTATTTGTTTCTCAGTACTTTTCTGAATTTATTGAATTACAGTTTTCTCTTTCATTTATTTCAATATTAACTAGACCCCAATCTAGACATTATTTGGCTTATATTGACATTTTATCAGATTGACCGTGATATCTGTGTTATATAGTAATGTAGATATCTCCTTTCAGAAAAAGAAAAACACAATAAAAAACACAATAATACATTCAACATTTCAAAGATTATACTGGCTGGTAGACAAATATATAATCAGTCAGGGGCTGGGGATTTAGCCCAGCGGCATAAGCACCTGCCTTGCAAGCAGGCGGTCGTCAGTTCGATCCCCAGTACTGATAAAAAAAAATGCAAAAATATATAAACAATCATTTATTATTTTTTCTTATTCTTTAGAAAGGGAAATAAAATATCTGGCCTCAGTTTTACTTTTGCAGACAGAATCATTCTGACTGCAGCCATGGCAAGGAGTTTCTTTGTTCTGAAAACACATACAAAGGGTTGATTATTCTAAGATTTATATTTTAGAGTAAATTTTAAGTATGGCTAAATCCTTAAAAGAGCTCAATTTTTTTTGCCCATTTTTTCAGTGTGATGGTTAAGTGTATTTCGTAGGTTAACTATGTCTGGGCATAACCTTAATTATCTAGTTATTGACATAAATAAAAATATATTCCTCCTTGCTCATTCAATTTCATGTTTCTTATGCTGGTTTTCAAACTTTTTGAAGTATGAGAATTTTTAAAGTAAAATTCTAATGAGGCTATTTTCATTGGGTAAATTAAAAAAGGAATATCATATCCTGAATAATGATGTAGTCTTGTTGAAATCCCTGTTACATCACTTAGTGATCAGATCATGGAAAAGCTAGTCTTGCTATACTTTGGTTTCCTGATCTATAAATTGAGTCCATTCATATCTGTATATGTATATCATATTATATACATTTCTTGGTCAAATTAAATGAGTTAATTCATGGAAAGTGGAGAAAACAGTGCCTGAGATGCATAGTAACATTCACTAAGTATTACCTGTCATTTTTATTTTTGTTTTGAAAACATTTAACATCAAATGTGCTATGACAAGATTTCAAAGGTTTTGCAGCAGAGAATGCTCACAGAAAGGCCATCTCTACTAACTCTAGCGATGAGTTAACATTGCTAGAACTGCATGCTAGAGTTCAAGAGTCAGGTGTTGCTATCCTGTGTACAGAAGTTCTTTGGCCTAAACTAGATGGTTTTTGGATGACTTTACATGTCCTTTTGATCACACACAAATGTCACCATGTATAGAAATATAGATCAGTATTTATAGCTAAGTTCATAGAAATTTTGTAAGTCTCTTGGAGACTTTTAAAATCAAAGTTCAGCTCAAACGTATTATATGACATATAATTATTTAATCATTAGACACTGTACTTTCTCTCCAAATCAGTCACCATGTTGTGAACCCCTGGAATCAGTTCAGACACAATAATAATAAGCCTCCTCGCCCAAACATTAGCTAGACTCTCTTCTAACCAGAGTGGACATGGATTGTTTGGGCTATATGGAGACAAAGGTCCTAACCTCAACGAGATGAGAGGAGAAGGAGCCTTAGAGGAGTTTGGAGGGAACTGATGGAAAAGAGGCATTCTGCCTCCGTCATCATAAACTTATTAGGAAAGAAGCAACCTTTGCTGGTCAGAGGTCGTAGGCAGTTTGATTTGACACATGGTTTTTAAAGGTGTAATAAGTGCTGGGTGCTAGTATTTATAAATAAAGAGATTCACCTTAAAATCCAATCTGGCTTTTCTAGAAAAATCAAATCTGGTTTTCTAGGCTTCCCACATGGTGTGAGTGGGCTGTAGCTGAGAAGCCATACGCCTTCAGACTGAGCACATTATTATATTCCCGCTGGGCCTTCGTGGGCCTTGAGTTGTAACACCTACCCACAATCACACAAAATCCTCCTCCTCTTGAGTAAATTGATGACAGGTTGATAGAATTGTTTTGCATCTTTCAAATACAAATGATTATGAGAATTTTTTCTGTATTTTAGGTATCATTTTTATGGCTCCCTCTGCTCCAAAGTCTACTTACATTAGGGCTCAGAAAACATTGCAATACTGTCTGTGATGAAAGGGAGCTGGTGTTAAATGAGAAGAGGCACATAGCAGAAATGTCACGGAGATGAAATCCAGGTCATGTTTACAATGGCCACAGCCACGTCTTAAGGATAATTAGCAGTTCCCTAAATGAAAGCTTCCGATTTTACATGGTTTTTATTGCTGTCTTCTTAGAATTTGATTATTAGTGAAGTTTATTACTTTTGTGTGTTAATAAATCGCAGATGGCAGTACTATTACCAAACACAATGAGAATGATATGCTTTTGGCTGTTACCAAGCAAATGCAGGTTAGATGTGGGTTAATATATTCAACTGCTTCAATGTGTCAACTTGTTTAAAATATGACATCTGTGGGTATTATCTAGGTATTATGTTTATAGAGGTAAAATTCCTCAGTGCAATGGTTGTATCTTCTTAGCCACTGACACTAAAATATTTGAAGTTATGTATGAGTAATCCTGCACATATAAAATTACTAAGATCTTTAAAAAATCTAGATTTTATGAGTAATTATAATTTTTTGAAGTGTTGTTTCTTTTGCTTATTTCTTCTCTGCAGTGTTGTCTGTGTTGGTGGAGATGGATCTGCTAGTGAAGTGGCCCATGGTTTACTTCTCCGAGCCCAGGAGAGTGCGGGGATGGAAACAGACCAGATCTTCACTCCCGTCAGAGCGCAGCTTCCCCTCGGCTTAATACCGGCAGGCAAGGGAGCCCACAGATGTGTTCAGCTGTCCTCCTCCACCATTCCTTGTCTTACTTCCTAGACTTGTCAGTAGGACCCAAGTTACATGTGTGTGCTTTGTGTCTGGAAGATCCAAGTTTGATTTCCAGTTTCTTCCCTTGCAAGTGCAAGATCTGGACAAGCAATTTTCTCTCTTTTAGCCTCATTTTGCTAATCTGTAATGCAGGGATAATAACCCATAATATTTACCTTGTTACAAGGTTATTGTAGTACTAGATAGTGTGGACAAAGGATTTACATACATGATTTTTAAAGGCAGTAGAATTATTATCCTATCTTCCATCCAAAAGTCTATAGGTTACATAGTGTCAGACAGGAAATTGCAAAACAGAGCCACTCCAATCAGCCTGTTCTTATGTCGTATGTGGTAAAATATGAAAGTCACAAAATGGAAACAGAAATGGATAATCTTAAGAACACCAGGAGATTCCTTCTGACTGGAAAGAGAACCTGGGCCCTGGAGGATGACCTCCTGCAGGACAGGCTAATTGCCTTTGTATTCACTGCTGTATTTCTGTCCCCTGGAGGAGACCATGATCTTGTGAGTATACTGGGTCACTAGGTAGGAGTTCCTGATCCCATCTAATAGGAGAAAGCCGTGTGTAGACTGTATTGAATACGAGGATGTTATGCCTCATCTGAGCTTTTGATGGAGAATAGGAGCGAGAGGAAGGCAGGAAATTTCCAAAGTGAACATGAATGCATTTTAAAAAGACTCTAGAATAACACTAGAATCAGGCCTTAAAATGAGCAGGATCAGGCCAGGAAAGATGGAAGTGAGTTATTTTCTAAGCTGCCACAATAATAAAGGCAAAGGGAAAACCCAGGCGTGTTTGAGGAACAGAAGAAAGCATTGGAAGGCAGATGATGGTATCAGATTGGCCAGACCCTGGGTGCTCCTGCAGGCCACAGGAAGGGGTCTCAACTGTATTTAAGATGCAGTAGAGAACAAACAGGTGTTTCCCATCAAGGGAACGACCTGCAGTTGTTCTAGGGGGATTCATTTTGCAACAAGATAATAGGATGGTTAGAGCAGGACCACTCTATAGAAAACGAGAGAACAATTTTTTCAAATTTATTATGTTATATAATCTTACTCCTTAATTCAGTGAACAATAATTTAGGAAATAGTTGTTTTTGCCTTTTGAATGTCATGCATTATTGCTAAAACAAAAGCAGGAAAGATTTTTCATATGAACATATTAAAAATCAATGGACAGGGTTGAATGAAAATTCATTCTATTCGATAAGCATGTGTATTTTGTATGGACTTCAGCATATGTGTTTTTGCTGTTAAATTGACAAAGAATATAAGATACCCAAATGTGTTTTTAGAGCATAAAGCCTTTCATAAAAGCAAGAACTTAAAAAAGAGAGATACTAGGATATAGCCCAATAATTGTAAGGTATACCTAGAGGGATCTATAATGGCTTCTAAGCAGAAGATAACAAAACAACCTCAACTCAAAGAAGAAAGATACATTTTGGGGCATCTTGTCATGCCATTTTAGTTTTTTGATCTTTGCATGTGATTTTAGTAGTTATGATTCTAGTTGGTGGAACGTTTCCAACATTTCCCTCCATACAAAGTGGATGTACTGTATTCAGGTCATTGTTTCTCTTTATTAGTGCTTAGATTCCTGAGCTCCTGTGTTAACTGCCTTGACCTGCAAGTGAAAAAGAAAAATGTCCCAAGAAGTATGTGTCTGACATCAAGTGGGTAGTAGACCACCAGAACTGGTAGTTTATGCTTATGTTTTAAATATATAACTCTGATTTTATAAACAAATAGAATGATTTTTTAATATTTTAAAGCATATTTCCAATTTTGAAAATATCCCATGAATCCAGTGGGTATTTGTAGAAATGCCACTGTGACACTTTTTTGTTTAGAAATACAGAATGCTGCCAAAACTCTGATCACTAGATAGGAGTTCCAGCTTCCTAATTCCACTAATGGGAAGACAAAGTCATGTGTGGGCTGTGTTTAATATGAGGATATTATGCCTAGTCAGGGCTTTGATGGAGCATAGGCAGAAGTGGTAGGCAGGAAGTCTCCAAGCTGAACATGAGGAGACATTCTGCCTTTGAAACCATTGGCCTCCTGGAGAGAGACATCCAGAGGGAGAGTGTTCAATAAATTATTCCACTGAGCCCACAGACTAAGCCGCTGAATTATGGAAAGACTCAAATGGATCAGATGTGGGGAAGCCTGCATTTGAACTGCTGGCCATTAGGAATGGTGCTTGTTGCTATGGGAACTGGTGGTAAGGAACTGTACAGAAAGATTCCGATTAAAAGTGGGGAGGGGGGTAAACAGGAAAAAGCCTGCAAGGACATAAAAATAAAAAAGCAATCCAGCTGTTGTAAAACAAGGCTCAGTCCACATACTGATGGCTGTGAACCATATATTCCTATAGAGTTTGCATAAATAAATTCTTGCTTTCCAATTAATTTGAGGAAAATAAAATATTGCCGAGGGACTGTTAATTTCTATGATATTTCAGGCAAAGAACCAAAGTGTTGGTGCCATTTTCATGAGAATTTTAGATATGCTTGACTAGGAAGTCATTACATCACATTTATCTGTTTGGATGTGGGAGACATTAACAACCTTATGAATATTCATGGTGTCTGGTTAATTAAGTTAATTGTTCTGCAGAAGTGCTTGCACTTCCAAGGACAATTTGTTTTTTCTTTTTTCGTTCCTTTTCTTTTTTCTGTTTTTGGCCTCTGTGGTTTAGTTTGTGCCTGGTATTTCATCTGTCATGTTTTACATGAACTGCTACATCAGCCCTTCTCCTATTTGCTACCTTTTAGCATGTCTGGAGAGGGGCTGGTGGGCAAAGTTGCTGGTAGTGTAAAGAAAAATAACTTTTCAGACTAATTAAAATGTTCACCTTGAGGTAGAACATTTATAGCTTTTGTGAGAATGTGAAAATTACACTGCTGTTATTTGAGCAGCGTGTGCTTTTGGCATGTAGACGTCTTTTCCAACAGAGTCCAATTTCCTGAAATAAACTGTGACCCATCCTTCAGCTATCCAAACAGAAATACAGAATTTTATATACTTTTACAATTTTACTTGCAATTTCTCATGAACTTTTCTTTTTTCTGCTGTGCATAAAAAAACCATGTTCAAAAATGAAGGTATGTGTTAATGAGTAGAAGATGACTATAATTTCTAACTTCTGTTCCTGCCTACTGCTAAGGCTAAATTCTTTAGAATTAGGAAGAAGTTGCAAAGCCTAAGAGAGTATAAAAATAAAATCCATCTCTAGTAATTTAAGAGGATTTGTGCGTGAATATACTTCCAAATCTCAGGGAATGAACAGTCTTCATTTTCTGAGTCATGATATGTGTCATTCTCTATTGCACATGACAACATTACATTATGTTTTCTAATAGCCTTTCTAGAGGGATGCTTTTATGGTCTATTCCTAATTAACCATGGTAAGAGAGGAAATGTATTTCATGGAGAACTGTAATCCATCGATAATCCTATATATCTCATTCTAATTATGTGGCCTCCTCCAAAATCTTTATCATAAATCTGATTGGGAAGAAGAATGATTGATTGATTGATTGATCAATTCCTTCTGTTATTCAAGATGAATTTGAAATTAGATACTTAAAGGGCAAAAGATCATTGGAAAGACCTTGGTGTAAAGATCCAAGAGAGTAATGGTTTTCTAGACTACATGTTTTCAATTCATAGATATGTACAGATTACCCTGAGAATTTACTAAAATATGAGTCCTCAACACACACACACACACAGACAGACACACACACACACACACACGAATCTAAGAGCTACCTGCAGCTGGTATGGTTACAAGGAATCTACCTTTTTAGGAGGCTCTCAGGTAATGCTGACAGAGCTGAGTAAGAGGCCACACTGCCCATACAGGCGCCAAGTGATGGTGCCTGTAGGTCACCCAGAGATCTTCAAAACTGCAGCCTAATGCAGTGAGTCTTAGTCAACTCATTTCCATCAATTCCTCTCTTAAAATACCTCATCCTCATTTATTTTTAAATGGCCATAAAATTACATAAATTTAACACGTCCAATATGCTGTTTTGAATTAAGTATCCATTGTAGAATGGACAAGTTGAGCTAATTAATGTAGGCACTACCTCACATATTGCTTTTTGGAAAACAGTTGAAAATCTGCTCTCAGCAATTTTAAAATATGTAGCATAGTGTTAGCTATAGCCGCCGTGATATGAAATAGGTCCCTGGACTTCATCTTTATAGCTCAGATAACACACATTTGACCAAGTGTCTCCAAATTTCCCCTCCCCAGCTCTTAGTACTGTAAGCCTCTCTTCTTCAACTTTTTTAGATGCGAACTCTAAGTGAGACCATGCAGTATGTGCATCTCTGCCTGACTTAATACACCTGAAATTATGCCCTCTGGACTCATCCATGCGGTCATGAGGGGCAGGTTTTCCCTTTTTAAAAGGTCAAATACTCTTCCTTTGTGTGTATATAGCACATTTTCTTATTCATCTGTTTATGGTTACATGGATTGATTGTATAACTCAGCTACTATGGAAACTGCTACAATGAACATGGAGGTACAGCTATCTCTGCAACATACTGATTTCAGTTTTGGGAAATGTAATCCCCAATAGTAAGATTGGTGGATCACATAGTGTATCTATTTTCAATTATTTGAGGAACCTCCATAGCCATTATTTTCCATATGAGTTGCACCATTTTGCTTTCCTACCAATAGTGTATAGGGTTTCCGTTTCTCTACATTCTGGCCATGTGAATTTTTTGGGCTATTCTGACAGGCTGAAGTGATATCTCACTGTGGTTTCATATTGCATTTCTCTGATTTGTGATATTGAATATTGTTTTCATTTAACATTTGTCCACTTGAAAGATATTCTTTGAAGAAATGACTGTTCAGAATCTCTGCATATTTCAAAATCAGGTTTATTATTTTATTATGTATTATTTCACTATTTATCATTGTTACTATTTTGCTACTGAGTTCTTTTGCTGCCTTCTGTGTACTCAGTGCCCTACAAGATCACATTTTGGTGAGTGGTGGCCCTCATATTACCCCAGTGATGTCATAAGACTATAGGGGAACTGAAAACTTCCTATCTATAATGAAGGCGTAGCTGAAGAAGAGGCAGGAGATAAGGAAATTGCAGAAGAAAAAAACAGAACATTCATAGTAAGAGTATCAGTAGAAACTTGCAAATCTCAACAAGCTTCTTAAAAAAAATTGAAAAAATGGAACCAAAGCAGAAAGGTTTTCACTAATTGAGAGGCACTTTTCATGGTGCATTATCTGCTTATGAGCAAATCTATGATGAAAAAAAGAAACCACGCAAAGCATTTTGGGCTTATCTCTGCTTAAGAAGAGCCCAGTTATGTGAAATAAATCAGACACACAAATCTAAATATTGCAAGGTTTCTCTTATGTGAGAAACTCACAGTATAAACAGAGAGCTTGATCTGCACATGGGAAGGGGACCAAATGGAGGGAGGGAGGAGGGAGTGGAGAGGAACAGGGCATAAAAAGAATTAAGATGCTTTCTGTACATGCACCACCTCCCCACAGTGAATGCAGTCATTATGCACTGTAACCATATACTAATAAATTTTTTTAAAAAAGAGCCCTAGACAGGTACCTCAGAAGAGATGCCAGAGGGGTGGACATTGTTGTCACAGGAAGGGGCAGTTGCATCCGTGCTATTGCCTAGGAAGGTCTTTCAGCAGGATGAAAAGTGGAGGAAGATAATGATACTGATGATCTTTACTCTATGCATTGTACCCTTGCTGGCTGGCTGGTGTGTGTGTGTGTGTGTGTGTGTGTGTGTGTGTGTGTGTACTTTGAAACAACAAACAAGGTTGAAAAATAAAAATAAAAAATTATGTTGGTTACTTTCATTGTTGAGACAAAATATCTGACACTCAAAAGGAAGGAAGGAAAGATTTATTTAGCTTACAGTTTTTGGAGGTTTTAGTCCATGCTCAGCTGGCCTCAAGGCAGAGTGGCATAGCTAAGGGGCAACCATTCATGGCAGCTGCAGCAGATTTCAAAAGTGGCAAGATCAAAAGGACAAAAAGGGACAGCCACACTTCCTTCCCTCCTTTACATTATATTCCAGCTGCCCATCCCTGGGCGGGTGCAGCACTCACCACCAATCCCAGCGCTAGACAACAAACCAGTCAGATGCTAGGTTCAGCTTCCTCCATCACTACATGAGGCTGGGGGCATCCAAACACAAACCATAATAAAATAATTTTAAAATATAAAAATAAAATACTTTTGTATAGTGTTTTTGTTTTGAGATGTGGATTATTTCAGAAAAGTCAAAACATTTAAAATTTTAAAAAAATTTTTTGGAGTAAAAATTTATAGTGAGCTAACATTTATTATTTAAGAGCTTTTAAAAATAAATTTAGTATAGCATGACAATACATATATATTTATAAAGTCATTGATAGTAGTGTAGTTACAGTTTTAGCTTTCACATTCACACTGACTTACCTGCAACATCTTTTGGTCCTGTTCATGGTGGCTAAGTACCCTCATAGGTGTGCCATTTCATTATCTTTTTAATATATTTTTTCTGTTTTTAGATATGTCTAGGTATATACTATACTAGATATATACTAGATGTATACTATACTAGATATATACTTCACTAGATATATACACAGTTTCCTACAGCGTTCAGGACACGAACATGTTATGCAGGTCTGTAGCTTAGGAACCAGGATGTGCAGTGGCCCATAGTGTCTAGTTTGTGGATATACGCTGTGATCTTTGCACAATGACAGTATTGCCTAACATAATTTCTCATGATGGATCTTTGTCATGTGATACTTTATTATATTTTGCATGTTTAGGCCTTATTAGCTATGGAGTTGGCAAATATTTTCTCCCATTCTTTACATTGTCTCTAACTCCATGCAGAAGTGATTTACTTTGATATATTCTTATGTCCCTGGTTTTTAAATATACTTCTATGTCTGTAGGCTTTTTTGCCTATGTTTTGGGGATCATACACAATTGATACACAGACTCATTGCATGGAATTTTTGTCTGGTGTTTTATTCCAGTGGTTTTAGATTGTATGTTTTATTATTTAATCCATTTTGAGCTGATTTTTGTATATGTTGGGAGGTGGGTCTCTAATTCTTCTGCATGTTGTTATCCAGACATTAATTCACTGAAGTTACTACATTTTTCTTGTTGTATTTTCTTGGCACTTTTGTGGAAAAATTGGTCAACCATAAATACTTGGGTTTTTGATTTCTGGAATTTGCATTGTGTTCCTGTGGTCACTGGTTCTGTGTGACTATTGTACAGTTTTGATTACTACAGCTTTACGGTGTATTTTGAATTCAGGTAGCGTGCTGCCTCCAGCTTTGCTCTTCCTGCTCAATGTGACTTTTTCTATTGGAAGTCGTTTATGGCCCTGATGCATTTTAAAATTGTTTTTTCTATTTGAATGGAAAAGCCATTTGAAGTTTGATAGGGTTTTCATGGCATTTATACGGACATTTTAGTAATATCAATTCTTCTAATTCATGAGTGTGAAATCTTTCTGTTTATTTGTGTCATCCTCAGATTTTTTATTCATGTTTTAGAGTGTTCAATGTACAACTCTTTAAATTTTTTTGGTTAAATTTATTCCTAAGTATTTTATTTTTTGCAAATACAATTATTTCCTCAATTTTTCAGGTAGTTTGTTATAAGTCTATAGAAACACCACTGCTTTCTGTATGCTGGATTTTTTTTAATAATGATTTTTTTTGTCTTTACTGTTTTCTTAATTTTAAGCTCCTTTTAAGCTTACTGGAAATACAAGGGGCTAGTTTGTGTTTTCTCCATTGGAAGATGGCAGAGTTTAGTGTCACATAAAAATTCTAGAGGTCTAACTTTGGAGCAGTTCCCCTTTGTAAACTAGTGGGGAAATTTTATGTGGGTCTTAAATTATTCCAGTGATTATGAAAAACAGATATAATATGTCAAACATAAATTTTTAGACCTTAGCAAATATTCTAAAATAGGGCATTCATGTAAGAGAACACTTTTTAGTCAGATAATAGAAAGGAGTCCCGTATGTGTTGGAACTTACCTCTAAGGTTCATTAGATGTATTTAGAGGATGTTTGTCGGGGTTTATAGTGATAGCCTATTTTTATATTAGTTATTACTTGGATTTTTCTTATTATTTATGCATCTGTCCCTCCTCTTCAGAACCATCCTTCTGATGTTGCTTATTTTGCTATGAAAGCTAAAAGCTATTCATTAGTTTGAAGGACTAGACATTTTTATAGCCAGCATTTAGAAGATAGAAAAAAGACATTCATAAGTAGAAAGTATAAACAATTTATTAATATCTAAGTCATTTAAAAGTTGAATAACTGTGCAAATATTTTATATACATTATGCTGTGTTTTCATGAATTTTTTCTGGTATTGCAAACTTTATTACATTTTCATCTGAACATTACATAGTAATATTTATATAAAGTAAGAGCAGATGTCAATTTAAAACATATGCTACACTGATAGTGCATATTTTAACATTGTTTTGGCAGGATCTACTAATGTACTGGCACATTCTCTTCACGGAGTCTCTCATGTGGTAACTGCAACTCTGCACATTATAATGGGTAAGAATTCTTCTAAAAAAGTTCATGTGTTATGCTGAAGCTTTTATGTATATAAGAACCACCATTTTACTTCTGTCAGACTTATCTAAGGAATAATTTCTTTGTCCCTCAAAGCTGAAACATGGTCAACTAAAACCCAACATCAAAGAATCACCCTCAGAGTGCCTATCTTTCTAAAATGTTTGATTGGTAGAAGGCATTTTTAATGAAGTTGTACTCTGTCTTAGTTACTCTCCTTATTGCTGAGATAAAATACCCAACGTCTAAAGTTAAAGGAGGAAAGGTTTATTTTGGCTTACAGCTTCCGAAGTTTCAGTCCATAGGCAAGGGATGGCTGGGAAGAAACAGTTTGGCAGAGCAGGCAGAAGCTTCCTTTCTCTCTATCCCATTCAGGCTGCAAACCTTTCCAGTGGTGCTGCCTACACCCAGGGTGGGCTTTTCTATTATCCACACCCGGAACCACGCCGAACCAATCGGTGGACTAATATAGTACCACTCACCCTTAACCCAGCATCACATACCCTAAATCTAGCCAAAAACCCCCATCTATGACCACATGAGGCTTTGGGGGAGACATCAAATACAGGCCATAACACACTAATTTTGATAGAAAATACTCATAATGATATTCAAAATCATAGTTTTATAATCAGAACAAGAACATTTATATACACAATTTGATTTTGTAATCTACACAGTTGTTTTTGCCAAGAATCTCTAGAACTAGGATTATATTATTCAAGACAAAAGCATACAAGAAAAGTATTTTAACCCAGGCACATCTGTAAACCAGCGATTATTCCAAATGGTAGATGCAGGGACTCTGGAGAACATGGCGGACAGACAACAGCAACTACTGAACGCTCTCTAAAGGCTCGGCTCAGAGGCCAGGAATGATGTGGACTAAGGAGATACGAACCAGTAGAGATATGCTCTGCTGACTCAGGAACGAACTGGGCTGAGAGAATCCAACTTGGAATACAGTCCTGGCGCTAAAATAGGAACAGAAAAATCTCGGTGTGGAGGCTCGACTCCGCGCCATTGGAAACCGCGGCTTGGATTTCCCGCCGCGCGGCGGCCGGCCACCTCCACAGCGGCTCAGCAAGGAGAGACGCGACCCCCGAGCTCTGGGAACGGGCGTCTGGGAACGGTCTCGGAAACGCGACGGGCAGGAAGGAAGGCTGACTGGTGGCGAGGTGGGCGAGGAACTGACTCCCTACCGCAGTCTGACTCCAGCGGAGGATTTTCTGGGCGCGGGCAGTCCTGTAAGAGCAGGGCGCGGTGGCAACTGCAGCCGCGCATTTCCCTCTCGGACGGGATTGGTGAAAGGTGCCTGGCCGGAGGGACGCTGCTCGCGGACTCCCTAGGCTGGCCTAGCCCAGATCCCAGAGCCTGACGGTGGCCCGGAGGAGCGACCGACTTCCGCGTAGGCTGCCTCCTCCGCAACTCCCTGGGGCGCAGCGGTGAGCTGGAACAACTAGCCAGCGCAATTCGATCAAGCTGTAGCTGACAGGCAGGGAAGCCGGGCCTCCTGTGTAAGATTACATTTTATAAGGAACAGAAAATATGGGGAAGGGAAGCAACAAAAAAGGCTCCTCGACCCCCAATCCTGAGAATCAGGCAATAGTGGACACTGTACCAATATACATTAAGCGCCATTTAGAGAGCCTCATAGACCAATTCAGGAATGAAGTTATCAATGACCTGAAGCTAGAAGTATGCAGAATAGTTAGAGAAATGCTAAGCACCACCCAGGAAAAAGCAGATGGTGGAGTGGAAGAACAGAAAAAGAGGGGAGAATTGCTTGATGGAGAAAACAGAGAAAGCATTGAGTATGTGAAGCAGGTGCAAAGGGGCTATCAAGAAATCAAGAAGTATACCCAAGACTGGCATAACAGCTTGAAAGAAACTAAGGACAGACTATCTGAATTGGAGGGCAGACTTGAAACATGGGAGAATGAAATGAAAAACTTCTTAAAAATAACAAAGAAACACACAGCAATAATACAAAGACAAGAAGATGATAAGAGGAGCCATAACTTAAGAACATAAAAGAAGAAGTAGGGACACAAACAAGTGAACTACAAAAGCTACTCACAGAAATAATCCAGGAGAATTTTCCTAATTTAGCAAAAGGTAAAGATACTCAAATGTATGAGGCATACAGGACCCCAGCTACCTACAACCCTAACAGAGAAACACCCAGGCATATAATAATAAAAATTCCAGAAATTCAATACAAGAACAGAATATTAAAAGCTGTAAGAGACAAGAAACAGATCACTTACAAGGGAAGACCCATCAAAATTACAGCAGATTTCTCTTCACAAACCATCAAATCACGAAGAGCATGGGGAGAAATAATTCAAGCTTTGAAAGATAATAATCTACAGCCAAGATTGAGATATCCTGCACAACTGTCCCTGGAAATTGATGGAAAAACGAGGTGCTTCCAAGATAAAGAGGAACTGGGGGAATTTGCAACCACCAATCCAACCCTACAGAAAGTATTGCAGGATATTCTAAAAAAAGAAAAATACAAAGATCCCAGAAATAGGGGCGGGGAGGCCACAACGAATAGAGCAGAGACCAAAACGAAGAAGACAAACTGACAGCTACTGACAGAAAAAGAGCTCAACAGAAATGAGACAGAAGATTGGATGATAGGAACAGCTTTTTTTTGGAGAAAATGACATCTTAATAGGTAATGCTGATTTAGTACCATCTTGTTTTGAAGTCTCATCTAGCTTTTGTTCTTCTGTCTCCAATGGTCTAAACAGGTTGTATCTTATTGGATTTTACTATGTACGATAGTATAAGAAAAAACCTTTTAAAGACAAGGAGATTATACAGAGACCATTGTTCATTTTCTGTTAGTCGATTCTAAATACTCTATAATGCTGTTATTCTCTTAAATGGATTTACATTGTTTTGATATACTTAATGCTACAGTATATGAAGTTGTACTCAAGGACTTCAGGGAGGGAGTCAATATGGTAACTATCTTTGGGTCAGGATTAGCTGGTGGTGAAACACTATTCTGCTTAAATGGTTATGTTTTGATCTGCCCTGTTTCGCTGTTATGCCCTCTTTTTTTCTCAATCTCCACTCCATTATTTACTTTTTTATTTTTACCCATTTAATTACAGGGAAAAATATAGCAGGATATAATATAGTAACCCATTTTGACTTTCTATTATCTCGATTTGAAGCCCTGTATTACTCTCACCATCTTGTTTTTGACTGAGGTTCCTATATTCTGTTTTGCTGGATAGTATCAGGTTCGAAAGTTTAGGCATCAGCTGAGAAGATAATGAGATTCATTATAACGCCCATTCTCGTTGACTTTTATCTACTTTTGAAGACCTACAATGTCTCCAATGTTTTGGTTTTGTCGGTTTTATTCTTTACGGTTTTGTTCAATTGTATTACAACTAATGATATAGGCAATTCTATTAGAAATAGCGGGAGGCATTAGGGTAACCATTGTTGATCACCTTGTATTATGTTTTTATATTATCTATTATGTCCACCCTTTTGACTTGACCGATTCTGTTCTGTTATGTCACATTTGGTTTTACTCTCTTCCAAAAAAGCAACAAGAACCGTGGGAGCAATGAAACCCAAAATGTGTAATAGTCACTGTACAAAAGAGAGGAAAAGAAAGTGCTCTAAACTATATAACTGCATGTATATTTAAAAGTATAAGATAGAAAATGATATCACAGAGTTTTATTGGATCATTGAACAGAACTGTTTGCAGTATCATTGGTGGAATGTCCACTCTACAAGCTTTAATTTTGTGACTTGAACAATTATTTCTAAGATGGCAATATGTAATCCATTAACTAGTGATTTCCTACTGCGCATTTTTTTATTCTGTAAATCTGTATAACTTGTACCCCTTCACTGTTTTTTTTCTTTCTTTTCTTTTCTCCTTAAATAAAAATTAAAAAAAAAAAAACAAATGGTAGATGCAATACAAAACTACTGTTAAATCTGAATTCACTTAGTGTATCTAACTTCACTTTAACCATGTTTTATATGAAACTAAACAAGCTACGGTATTTACTGCTTTCAGTTTTTTTCCATTCTATCCAAAGGAGTCACAAATGACATTTAGAGTAGTTATAGGCAAAGAGAAATGAAGAGAGAGAGAAGATACTCATTGCAGGGTGTGGCACCGTGAGGTTTTCTTCTTCTAGTACGCATGTTCTCTGATGGTTGATGTTTTCCATGAGCAGCCCCACTCCACTAGCTAACTAGTATTCCACATACTGTTGAAGGACACATACAGCCTGTGGATGTCTGCACCTTTAGAACCAGTGACAAGCTGCTTCGCTTTGGGTTCGCAGCCATGTTTGGCTTTGGTGGAAGAACGCTGGCCTTGGCAGAGAATTACCGATGGATGTCCCCCAGCAAACGGAGAGACTTTGCTGTGATTAAGAGCCTGGCAAGACTTAAGTAAGTGTATTCTTCCTATACCAAAACCTTTTGTGCCATAGAGCTAATGACTATTAATAACACGTTTTCATTATGTTTTAGGCCTGAGGACTGTGAAATATCATTTTTTGCACTTAAAGGCTCTCAGAATGAAGGAGAAAGGTAAGTAAAGGTTTAATGTAATGTAGATATCTTTTTTGTCGTCTTTTTAGCATGAAACATTTTTGGCATAATGTATAAGGTTAGTGATCTTTGGTTATTTTCTATACACTAATAAAAAATGTAAAATCATGGACTCTTGTAGATTCTAGTAGGCATGTAATTTGGCTTCTCTTTTCACAAGCAACCTTTGTACATCCATTTCTATATTCATTTGTCAGCTGTTAGTGTGCTTACTCTATGCCAGAGTACTTTGGATACAAGCATAAGCCAAACAAACGAAACTCATTTTGAGTTCTCCCTCAATGAAAATTTTAGACTGTGATAGAGTACAAGCATTCATCAAAGCCATACTAACGAAGAGCTTGTTGTTAAATTTGAAAATCATTGTCCCTTATAATACTTTTCGGCCTTTAAATGAGTTAGCTTATAATGATGTTGGTAACAAATCATTCACATATTTTTATTTACTATGTAACCAACCAAAGAAAATATTTAGTATCTTCAATGACATGTTAACTTTCTCATATCTAATAGATGCTATTTGTCTCTGTGACATATTTTTGTCTCTGTTTTCTTCTCCTCAGGATGGCACAGAAATCTCCAAAATCTGGTGAGTGTTAAAGTATCTCCTGGAGACCTGAGCCAGGCAGTCCTGGCCTTTTGGTGAGGGGAGGGGAAGTGACCAGTGTCTCTCATTACCTTTAGGCTGTACTGAGCAATGGCAGACAGTCCAAGGTCAGTTCCTGAATGTCAGCATCATGGCAATTCCTTGCCTGTGTTCAGTGGCACCCAGAGGCTTGGCACCTAATACCAGGTTACTAAGCATCCTTTACTCAATGATATCCTTTTTATATAAACCAGCGTTGCTTTTGCAATAACAAACAGCTCACTCTTGGCTGGGTAGAGACTAAGATAGTTTTTCTTTGTGTAATTATTAGAGTTTCCAAAGGATTTGTCAACATTAGGTTAAGGAAAATCATTAAACTGGAAAAAAAAAACCTGACAAGATAAGCAATGACTTTTAATATCCTTAAGGCTAAAATAATATTCTTTGTGCTTTTGTTGAGATGATTTTGCAATTTTGTGTTGCCTTTGGTTGCTTTACTTGTTCATTTACTAGTTTTGAGAATATTAGATTCTGATATTGTGAACGTGCTTTCCAATGTTAATGCAAACACAAATACCTTTAGCATGAAAAATAGCATGCATACGTATCTTTTTGGTACTTTTAAAGAAAACATTTCAGTTCTAATTAATGTGAATTGTGATGCACAGAAATCTACTGCCTCATAATAAATATGAGGCATTTGTTATATGTCTGATACACAAAGTACAGGTATTCTTTCTCTTGTAAATTTTCTTTTTTTTTTTTTTTTTTTTTGTATGGGGGATCGAACTCATGACCTTGTGCTTACCAGGCAAGCACTTGAGCCGTAGAGCTAAATCCCTGGCCCTGTTGCACATTCTTTATAAGCAGCTGTCCATTATGAGTCTGAAAATATTTCTCTTGGAATCCAATCCTGTCAACTAAGAAAAAAGAATCATGAAAGGTGTGAAATACAGTCTACTTTAGAGTTCCTGGAAGGAGGATGGAGAGATGACTTATGTACTGTAGCAGTTTAAAACGTTTTATTGATCAGTTTCAACTTCCCTGCAAAATATTTAACCAAAATGATCAACAGCTAGAAAAATAGGATCACTTTTAAAATTTCTTCTTTGGCACTTGATACAAAGGCAATAAACTGGGTGATATCTAAAGTTAGAGATGAAAAAAGAAGAACTAACAACTTTGATGATTAAACACCCAGATGGCCAGGCCCTCATTAATTACATCCAATGCCAAAACTTGGAAGGGGTATTCTGAAGTGCTTGTGATTTAAAAGCCAAGCCTGGTTATTTCCCTTCTACATCTTCAGAAATGGATGCTAGCTGTGTGCTTGCCTAATGGGGTGCCTCCACTATACCTGAAGCTATAGCTGGCTGACCGAGGAGCCCTGCCCTGGGGGCTTGAGATAGTATTCTAGACCCGACTCAGATGCCACATGTGGGGTCCTGCTCTTCAGGAGCAGTGGATCCATTCAGAACCGCTCCATCACATTCAGCCTATTGGGATTGCACTGCCGACTCTCTGGGTTTCATCAGTATTGATGAGATTTTTAGAGAAGGATAATTATGTAGGAGATTTCTTCTGTGGATGATAGTCAAACTATGCCATTTTTGCAGCGGTCTTTAGGATGAGCCTCAGTTGGCCAGAGATTTTCACAGACATAGCTTTGAATAATGCATGATAATCAGAGCAGAGAGCATGCTTTCAGCATTTTTAATGATAAAGTTTAATTTCAAAACTTTAACAAGTACAAAAAGACTGATACAGACTGATAGCCTTGTTCTCTAAATCACCTAAGATTAAATGTGTTTATACATGAGAAACATTTGAACCAGTACTAGGCTCATAGGGCAAGGAAATAATACACAACAGACATAGTCAATGCCTTGTATGCTTATAGAGCTACAGAATTTTAAAAATAAAGGACATACACTAACACTACCCTGAACATCAAAGTGGCGTTTATTTCCCATGGGGAAGAGGTAGCCTGATGGATAGAACCAGACCTTGGCAGTTAAGAGGTCTGTTGCTAGTGAGCATTTTGTTTTTCTCTGTGTCACTTACACATCTTTCCCTTCTACCTAAAATGTGTAAGTGATGAAATAATCTCCAGCACACCTTGCAGTGCTAACCCAAGCTTCAGTAAGACTGATGGAGCTCTTCTCTGTCCTTGTTATTCTTGAGAAATCTCCATGTTTGCATTGAAGTCAAGCTTGAAGTCATTTGTACGTATTTCTACACATCGCTTTGTGAAGCAAATGCACCTACAAGAGGCTATTTGGACAGTAAATTACACCTGGGAATTTCCAGTCCCCAGTATTGGGTGGAACAGTTATCCAAGATTAAAAGGCTCAGTCCTTTCACTAAACACGTGTGACGGCAGTTGTTCACACCATTACATCCAGCCAGAGCCACTTTGATTTACTCTATTTCCTACCTCACTTAGACCTTCTTCCTATAAATAAACACTTAAATCGCACTGTAGGTATTAGAAAATGTTGAGCTTCAGGTTATACCATTTGTAAATGCACACTATTTTATAATACAATTTTAAAAGCCACATGTAATTTCATGTTTAAATTCTTAATTGCAATGGAATTTAAATTTTGTCTTGAGGTATGAGTAGAGCTAAATCCCTGGCCCTGTTGCACATTCTTTATAAGCAGCTGTCCATTACGAGTCTGAAAATATTTCTTTTGGAATCCAATCCTGTCAAGTGATGGTTCACTTTTTAAAGAGCTCTGAGGAAGAGTGTGCTAAGAAGCAAGCCCATAGTTAAGTAAAACTAATTAAAAGGCTACCTCATTTAAATAACAATACAGCAAGAAGGGTTGAAGAATTTTAGGTAAATGTAAAGTGATGATGATTTATCTGTCTTACCTCATACTCCTAGTAAACAGTATGCTTGTTACAAGAAATAATATGGAGTGATTTCTGATGCAGTGTCTTTAAAAACTTAACATAAAATACAAATGTATAATTTCAGATTAAATAATGGAAGTATGGCTCTTATAATTGTACGGAATACTTCTCGGTCAGAATTTATAAAACACTTGAAAAGATATGCCAGCGTGAAGAATCAGGTATACCACATTATTTTTGCTACTTATTTGCAAAGCTGTTAATCATGGGGAAGAAGATGCTGTGACAGTTGACTGGTTGTGCCTCATAAGAAGCATTATTTTCTTCTGAATAAGTTGATCTTGTTTTTCAGTCTGTATTTCATCTCAAGTTTGAAAAGCATCCACCAATATTAATGTAGGATGATCCATTTTGAGATATAGGATATATTTTATTCACAAATTGAAATAGATAATGTAGCTTTATACTGAAATTTGAAGGAAATCAAAGATGTAATTACATACTCAGGCTGTTGTGCAGAATGAAAAGTAGTAAACTAAGATTTTAGCTTTCTTGAACTTATAGGGCAGATTCTCTAAAGTTATGATCTGATACTTCTTTATACATCTGTCTGTGTTCACTGATTACTACAAACTTGCAAATGTGTTTTTAAAATGCCCCTAAATCATTACGTATTTCCACCCAAGTGGTTAGCTTTAAAGAAAGACAGTGGCAAGCCATTTTTTGGAGGTGGATATTCTGACTCAGGCATTAGTGTTGAAGTACGCAGGTGTGACTGTAAAACCCTGTAGTTTTACACATTCTTAAGGGTGTAAGAACGGTGCTTGGAGGTAGGTGGAAAGAACAGACATGGGTGGGGCCGTAAACCTAGGCACTTGTTAGTCTCCGAGTGCTGCTTATATACTTTGGCCACTGCAAGACTGATAGTTTTGCCTCAGGATTTCAAAGTCACCCTTCAGGAGGTTTGAGTTCTCCTCTGTCCACCATTTGGATCAACACAGAGTCCAAATGAACTATTTGAGAAATTCAATTGCAAAGGTAGACACAGTCACACTTGCCTTATGTGAAATCTCAGGAAGGAGGCAAATAAGTACACTATAGATTGTGAGGCCGTGTTTGGGAAAATATGTAAATTTATTGATTTTTTCCAAAGGAATATGTGCCTTTTCAGATTTTATTACATTTTTAAATAGTACAACTAGCTTTTTCTTCACGCAAAATGCAGCCCCAGCTCATTAAGATGGAAAGCAAAACAAAAACAATATAAAAGCCACTCCAAATTTCATGTTCCTGTTGATAGTCATGGCCTCGCTATATAGATTTTTCCTAATCCTTTTCTATGGATTATATGAAAAGTTAAATGAGTATTAACCTACTAATATTTGTATGAGAGGCTCTATATTTAAGGGATGTGTATATTACACAAACTGTTTAGAAAAATTCTCTTCTGGAATTCCCTCATGAGGTAAATTTCTAAGGCAATTAGTAATTTGTGTAGACTCTTCAATGAAAATATCTTCTGATTTCAAAACTGATGCTTATTTTAATAATGAAAACAAAAGGCCTCTAGAACATAATGAAAGTCTATAAAGGAATTTTTTTAAAAAAGGAGACCACGTTGTTTAAAATGTATTGGACCTATTTTTACAATGTGTCCTGTCATCCATATCTTGTTTTTTTGTAGTGAGCTACATCCTCAGCCCTTACTTTCATAAAAAAATCACTTTGAGACAAGTTCTTGCTAAGTTACTGTGTTAGCCAGGTTGCCTAGGCTGGCTCAAACATGGCAGGCCTCCTGCCTCGGCCTCCAGTGTACTGGGATTATAGGCCTGGGCCATCACACCTAGCTTCTTTTAGCAAGGAAAATTACTGCCTTTACGCTGGGAATGGTGGCACATGCCCTTGATTCTGGCATTCAGGGACGCAGAGCAGTAGAATGCAAGGTTAAAATCTGGATTGTGCTACACAGTGAGACTTTGTTTCATAAAAGCCCAACAAACAAGAAATTATTCCCTGAGTATTTGTGTGTAAGTTTCGTTAGACTTAACTCTGAAGAACTTAGCTACTTCAAAAACTTAGTTTCTGTGATTGCTTTAGGATTTTTTTGCAAAGAACTTCTAAGGTGTCTTACATAATAGTATATACCATGCATACATTGATTTTTCCCCCCCAAGGTAACTGATCTCAAACATTAATTTGATACACTTACTGAAAATTATTTATCAAATTAACAGAGCTGATGTGTATTCTCTTCCTTCATTATGACATTTTCAAAGGTATAAATTTATATAAGATTACAAAGACCAGCTAGTGTGGAATCCTTCCGTCTCTGATACAGTGACTTAGTAGCAGTGCTGGGACTCGGGAGGATGTGGAGTTCTTCATTCTGAGAATGGCAGTGTCTTCTCTAAATTGTGACTGCCAGGTGCGACAGGACAGACGGGGAAATGCACCCCTTGCCTCCTCACCCCATATTAGAGAGGTTTAGTTACTCTTCAGAGCCTTTCTTCTCTGTCCTATTGCTGCCCCACTCCTCCGGGTCCCCAGGTCTCTCATGGGCATGGCTACGTTTGTAATCAAGGTCCATTCCTTCCCCATGGGTGCTCCCCAGGGATGTGTAGGCTGCCTGCCTCTCCTCCCAAGACACCCTCTCCCCTCCTGGGTGACCTCTGCCCCTGTCTTGGAACTCTGATCGCTCTGAGCCCCACGCCTTCCCAGACTCTTGTCTTCACTGCTGATCTGCAGGACTGCTCTGCTACCATGTCATCCTCTGTCCTCTGGCTGCTGCTCCCACGTTCCCTGTGCAGGTCAGGGGCACCACCTCCTGCCTGGCTGGGGTTGCTCCGGACCCCTCTCACCACCAACCCACCAGCTAGTTTTGTTTATTCTCATGTTGAAATTTCCCCCTCATCTGAATTCAAACCCTGACCCCCTCCTCATATGAAGACCCCTTTGTCTTCAGTTCTACTGTCTTTTGTATGTCCTTTTAGAGGGAATTTTCTGATTTCTTGATTTCTTTTCATTCTTCAGTGCCTTTCTCATTGTCCTTGGTGTCATAATCTAATGCCCTTAGCGTGCTATACAGGCCCTTTGGGTTCTGGCCCCTGGTCATGTCACAGCTTTACCACCTGCACCATCCATCAAGTGCCTGGGTTTTGGTCATTGTATTAGTTTTCTAGGGCTGCTGCCATAATGTACAGAACTGTGTCCTCTTGTGCCATGAAGTCTTCCCTCTGGGCAGTGTCTTGGTGCATGCATCCAAGTTCCTGTTCTATAAGGACACCAATCATGTCGGATGGAGGCCCATGCTCCAGATCTAGGTTTAACTTAATCTCCTCTTTAAAAACATCATCTCATGGTACCTCCAAGAAACCTAAAACATTCTCTCTAAATAATTTTGTCCTAAGACTCTAGGGGTGTGATACAACTCAACATAGAAATTCGTGGGTAGCAGGGAACACAATTCAGCCAGTGATCATTATGCTGAATGTTTCTGTGGTTACCACATCATGACACGTTCCTGTTCTTTGGTAAATGTTTGATTTTCCCTCTGGAGCTCCTTTCCATCTCTCTTCTGTAGTCCTTAAGGTTCTGTTCAAATGGGCTTTCCCGACACCCTAAGCCTCATTCCATCTCATTTCCCTCATCGAACTCCTTGACTGCATAATCATGACACACCTCTCTATCTTATTGTAATCATTTGCTTTTCTTACCCAGTCCTCCCCAAACACACCCTCACACATGATACCAAGCTGTCAGCTTCCTGAAGTCCCATTTAACAGTGTCTTGTGGTTTCAGAGTTAATCAATTTAAATGGATGAAGAGCTTCACCTTGGGAGGTGGGCACATGATAACTGATGAGGTAACAGACTTACTGATGGTGGCTGTCAGTGGTTGGCACTGCTTGTTCAGGGCTTCATTCTAGACTCTGGTATCCCCTGGCATTCTTCTCTCATATCAGTCGTAACTGAGTTAAGGGCACACCTTTTGACCTCCTCTTAATTATATCTGCGAAGACACTACTTCCAAATTTAATGATATTCACAGGTACCAGGGGTTAGAACTTGGTATTTTTCATATTGTGAGCAAACATAATTTAAACCACAGCCAATTATTAATGACTCATTTAAATGAATGATTATGCATAAATATCTGCACATATGAGGCACGTCCCTAAGGCTTTACACCTGAAGCAGGAGGTCTAGAGCAGCGAGTGTCAAACAGTTTCAGAGAGCGCCACCTGGAACCCTGAGACTTAGCCCCAGTCAGAACAGCTGAGGCCACCATGTAATCCACTGTGTAAGTCAGTTTATTAGCTACTATAAACTAGCATCTGTGGAAACCTGGCTTTTATTTATGTAAAATGAAGGTGTTGAGGAAAAAAATACTAGTTTTGTATCATCATTTAAAATTTTGTCTTGTTTATGTGTGGAAGTGGAAAACTATACAGAATTTACTTAGTATAGTTTTATATCTAAGTTATTTATTCTGCATTTCCACTAAAATAACTTGGAGATTTTTTTATTTCAGAGACTACATAGTGTTTTTTTCCTTAGTTTTTCTTTGTCACACAAGAAACTGCAAGCTTAGGTTTACCTTGCACTATTCTTGAATGATCATGAAGCAAATACAGTTACCCTGCAATTCTTAAAATGGAGGGGAGGCAGGCAAACACCCATGAAAATCATAGTTGACTGGCTTTCAAGATATACTTTACATTTTACAAGCTTAGATCTCAGTTCTTCACATCAGCTAATGTAATTGCCAAGTTACAGAATTTATGGATTCTATAAATCTATCAACAGATCAGCACTAAAGATTCACTCTTTAATTGGACATGGTACAATATCACTATGTACCATTACTGATACGAACTGATTTTCCTTAAAAGAGACTGATTAAGCTAGAAAAACGTCAGGAAAGAGGTGACTTAAAAACAAATGTAGAGATCTCTGATTATACTTTCAAGGCTGTAAAAACAAGTTACAAGCATGCATGATGACATCTACTTGTGAGAGGAGACATAAGGACCTCCTTGATTTACATTCCCAGGTAGAGATAAAGCAAATATCACAATTTATCTTTGTTTTATTTAGTTCAATTTTCCATTCGTTGAGACTTACAATGTGAAAGAAGTAAAAGTCTTTCCAAAGAATACCGCTGGATACTGTCCAGAGGAGGAGGCTGGACCTCGGGAAACTGCTTCCGGAAACACCACTTTCCCTTGGAACGTGGACGGCGACTTGATGGAAGTTGCATCAGAAGTCCATGTTAGGTGAGCCTAAATTACTCACTGCTGCTTGTGACCAGCAGACACAGCCTTTAGAATCCAGCAAAAGCCCACTTTTCTCAACATTCCAAGGTTGAGGTAATAAATTGAAAAATGGCTAAACAGAGAAGTATAGAAGGCCATATACACAACTTACAATGAACAGAAAATGGTAACTTTACATTTATTTACCCTAATGTAGAACAAAGTCATTGCGTTTGGCTATGATTCTCAACATCAGCATTCCAAATTTGATTCTAAATAAACTATCCAGATATGTGACTGTATAGTTTTTTTTTTTTTTTTTTTTTTTAATGAATCAAGATCTTGAGCGATCGTGAAGCCCTGGGAGTTAGAGTGTTTGTCTTCTTGGTTTCCTCTTATAGGTTTCTGATACTACAACACTTCATGTTCAGCAGTTTGTTTTTATTAAATCTTCAAAAGGCATTCAACATACTTTACAAATGAACAGCTTTACATATTAATTAACAAGGGCAGCTGGTAGAAATGGGTTTTGGCAAATGCAAACTCATTCTTGAGTAGCATGGTGACCAAATGGGCAGAAAAAGTATGCATGACGCCCACTAGCGGTGCGTGTCCTATAGGAAGAACTGACCCTTCACAGAGGTAAAGGTGGCTTTGGAATGGTTACTGTTGATATTTCAGGATCCCTCCTTTGAAGTTCTACCATGAGAATATATTTGTTGGTTCTCAATCTATATGTGGCACCATGTTAGTGTATGGAGAAATAACAGAATGAGATTTATGAAATAATAAATTACTCATGTTATTCTTTACAGATTACACCCAGGACTTATCAGTTTTTATGGAGGAAGCATGGAAGAAATGAATGATTCCAAAGTAACATGCACTTGTTTATAAAGTATGTAAAGTAGCATTTTAAATGGAAGGACTTGGTCATAGTTTAAACAGAGTCATAGTTTAAATGCATTTTCAAAGAAATTAAAGTTTGTCTGTTTGGTGCTACTAAAAAGTAGTTGCCAAGGCTTTGAAAACCAAGATTAAATAACATAAAGTAAAAAAGTTCATTTTTAGAAGGTGTTTATTGGAAGTAAAAGTAAATATTTCATGCCTTTAATTCTAAAGCAAAATCATTTGAGTTGTTTTGTTTTTCAGGATTTAAGCCCATCAACTCTGAGGTCAGATTCCTACAGCCTGACATAAACAGATCTCTTAGGACCACACTGAGAGGTAACTAATCCTGAGGAGTTAAACTTCAAAATCGCACAAGTAGTCAGTGGTATGTCCAAAAACAGAACTCTCTCACAAAAACTTTGTACTACTCAGATAACCTTCTAAAAAAAAAAAAAAAGACTGTATAAATAGGGTTTAAAATTCATCACAAACTTTATAACAAATTTTCTTTACAACTGCATAAAGTACCTAACTGGATGCAAGTTAGTTCACCAGGTTACTTTGCCCTTCTTGAACTAGAAAGGCATGCATCTGGCAGTGATGGCGCCTGGCTTTCAGTACAAACAACCAAGTTTTAGTTTCCTCAGAGACAACAGTTCTCTAAAGCTGTTAGATTTTGACACATGAACCTAGCTATTCTAAAAGAACTAAAATTTTTAATAAAAGGATAAAAATATATCCTTTGCACAAATGTTATTTAAAATATGTACAAGCAAAACTAAATTTGCCACATATACTTGCTTTGTGCTTAAGTTTTATTGCTCAGATGCCTTCAAAAATCTCTACATTCCCCATTCTGTAGCCACCAGTCACAGAGCAGAGGCTTAGCAATGGATAACTTTCACAAGGCGGGAAATCTGAGGAAGTAGACAGCTGGCAGCAAAGACTTCATGTAAAGCAATATTTTCCAGAGTAGGACAGACTAGTCTCTTATTTATTTGATCACTGCCTCTAACAGATGCTCAAAAATTTGACCACAGTTTTCTTATACATATAAAGAGATCTACATGAAATAAATATTACAAAATGAATGTACTTGAAAATGCATTTAAATTATTTAAAATTCAGCAAGAAGCTGTTTTAAAATATAACCTCTTACAATATTAAAAATTTTAGCTACCACCCCCCAGCTCATAGAAATTTTGATGTCACCTTTATGTTCACTATATAGTTCAGATGTGTATTTTTCAACTGTCTGTGAAATGTGTTACTCCATATCTATGGAGAATGCATTTATAGGCCTGATTAAAACACTTATTTGCTTAATTTAGAATAGTATTTTATACAGTACCCAGTATCTGAAATATGGACCCCAAATCATTCTTTGTATAGCTTTCATATTTCTTAAATACATCATTGTATACTTGTTAAAGTGCAACATTTACAATTTGTTGTTATAGAATATAAATTAGAACACTTAAGAATTTTTTACAAACAATATTTCAAGGTGTTTTCTTTTGACTCCTAAGTAGTCTTGATAAATGTGTACTGTATCCATATATATCTATATAGCTATGTATATATGGATATACAGAAAAAAGCTCTGTAGTTATCCACAAGTCCCCCTGTTAAACCAGTGTATTCAGTATGAAATTTGTACATCAGGCCTATATTACTCGTAGTCTATTGAATAAAATGATTGCTGAAGAAAAGGAAATGCATTACAAATAAAGGTCTTTAAAGAAAATTCCATGAAATGGTTTTAAAGATTGGTTTTCAAATACTCTCATAGACGTACTTGAAATGAATCTGTGCTTATTTGTCCCAGTCTAATATACTTTCAAGTATATGTTTCAGGGTTTATTTTTCTTGAACAAGTCGAAGGCTGTAGTGTTCTTCTACCCATTTAATACTTGTAAGATCCTCTTTGGCTATAAATTACAGCTTTGCAGTTATTTTCTTTGGAAGAGTTGTCACGGCTTGAATTCTTACCTCAGTAACACCATGTGTTGTAAGTAAAAGAAATACACACACAACAACAACAACAAAGGTCTGAGAAAAATGTTTTCCTGTAAACAATGTTTTTAGTCTAACCTGAGTCTGTTTTCAGTTATCTGAATATGAAAGAAGTCTTTACTCATCATCATTGTTTTTGCTGTTGACATAACTCCAACTGTCTCTGTTTTCTTCTTGTAGGATAGATTTGTATTGTCTTTTAAAGAAGCCAGCCTAAAAACAGAATTACATAATAATGTATGGTTACCCATACACTATATTTACATCAAAAATCCAGAGGGCTTTTACTCCCTGTACTCAGAAAACATTCGTTTGGGACATCATGGGCAAAGGCAGCATTTTGTTGTTAATGCAGTGATACAGTAGCTACCCTCACCCCAAACTTGACATTCAACATACTGTGAAGTGTTTTGTAAATGCTTTTTTAAAAGATTCTCTTTCAAAGCTGGTGATCTAGCTTAAATATTTGTTGAAAATAAACTAGTTTTCCAGAAAGACTTTGGTACTGAAGTTAGAATATGCAAAGTTAACCCACGTGCTTTAATAACTCGGAGTCACACATGGGCTCTGAGAAAATAAAGAATTGAGTAGAGATGATTGCAGCTCCAGATGTGCTAACTATTAAAGGCTTACCTTCCACATAACACATGAAATCACAAACAGGACAGCCAGTCCAAGCAGCAAGCTACTTGAAATAATCACTATGGTGACCCGGCGCTTGGGTTTTTGATGGTGTAATCCTTCCAGTAACACCTATGTAAAAAAAAAAAAGAAAAAAAAAAATGAAGCAAAACAGTTTAAAAATTTCCTTTCAAACCTTCCCCAAATCCTTATACATTTGCAGGGCTAATACAACTACAGGAAAAAGTGTGGCCTGAGCTTTCTCCAAGGCTCTTCCATCATCCCATTCTCACTGCTACCAATTACGCCTCCCAAAAAACTGTCTTTTCCTCCTGCAGCTGTAGAAAATGCCACCTCAGTGAAGTGCTCCATATCTTCCATGATCTGGGTGCACACTAATTTTCTGACTCAGGTAGGCAAGAGGAAGCGATGACAGACACACTCACAGGATGCTTCCTCACAGTTCTAGCGGACTAGTTACAGAGTTTGTCTTACGTGTGCTATGTTCTCATCCTCGTTTAGTTCGATAACTTTGGGATGTGGCTCTGGAAAAGCTGTCGCTCTTATTTCAAACTTGAGTGCTGAGGTGTCGTCCTGTTTAAAACAGAGAGATCATCATCGCCTTAGCGAGTTTTACCTTGTGAAGTCATTAACAGGATGATTCCCTATGACTTACATATTATCTAGATGCTTCTGCAGCTTGTCTTCTATTTACTGTGTTTCCCATGGTTCCAAAGGAGTGGTGTAAGTTTAGACATTTAACTGTCATTAATTTTAAAGCATGCTTTCATTGTTCATTGTTATTGTTGATGTTTCACTGAAACTCTAATGAAGCATAACTACATTGCAGGTAACCTGATTTAAATATTATTTGTTAGACTGTAATAAAAGGTATGTTACTGGTTACAATGTAATTTCCTTGGGGATGTTACATTTTTATCCCCAAAGAAGACTTTTTCACTAGATAAACATTTCCTCAACTCAATCTAAAGTTTCTTTTAAAACAAATTTGATAAAAACTGTAATACAATTCAGATATAAAATCAGTGGATGAACTCAGAACCTTACGACCTATGGCAAGGACTTTATAGCTCTGAACGCAGAGCTTGGGGAGATGGGTGCATGCTTTACGGAGGTACAGTATTTTCTTGTGTGTATGTGCTAGGATGAGAATATATTCTTTAGTCAGGTTCTTAAACAGGTTGATGAGCCCTAAAAGTTAAAAACTACTATGTAAAGATTATCTGACATTTTACAAGTTTGGGTAAATTTACAGCAATATCTGGAGATATCTTTGTCAGGATGGGGACAAAGGTACAACCAGTTTCTAGCAGTGAGCCTCTGTCTCAAAAAATAACATAAAAAGGACTGGCGGTGTAACAGCTCACTGTGAAGGCCCTGGGTTCAATCCCCTGTTTTGCTGCAGAAAGAAAAACCATCCACTCAGCAGCTGCTCATTTAATCTACAGCACTATTTTGATACTACCTATATTGAGCAAATGAAGAAACTGTGAATAGGACTTTAGATAAATCTAGTTTTATCTTGAAGTACGCTTCATAAAAATAAATTAACAGGTATTTTATTTTTAAATTCATTAACTTTTAAATCAAATGCCATTAATTTTAAAGCATTTTAAAAATTGTTTTGCTCTTACTGATGTACTTTGATGGTATAGTGTGATTTTACGAAAGCCTTTTACTAGGTAACTATTCGTAAAAGATTTTAATGGATAATTGAAAGCAGTGTAAAAAGAATTTTTAAGGTTACATGAAATTTTGAGATAGCCAATTTCTCTGATGTATTTAAGGTTCATAAACAATCAGGCATGCTTTCTGAACTACTGAATTATACCAGAGTCTTTAGAGAGCTAAAGTGATGAGTAGAAATGAATTTTAAGGTTATCCCAAAATTTTATTTTTACCTTAATTTGTCAATTAATTTGTCAAATGCCTAGGTACCATGCTGCCTGAGGATGGTACCTGGAACTAAACTTCGATTCTTAGGAAGGTATCCATGAAGTTGTCAGTGCACTTCAGACTTACCATTTCCAAAACGGATGGCCGGCCTTCTAACTGAATGTGAACACTAGCTTCTTTTCCACTTTCCATTTTCCCAAAATTGCATAGGAAGTTTAAACAGTATGAGTCAGTTTTCATGCAATACTAGAAAAGAATATAAAAAAAATACTGTGTTGAAGTTTTCAACATTTCCACTTTTAAAAACTTTATAAAAATTAAAAATATGGCATTTAGTTAATTGTCTTTCGGTAAACATACCATTAAACATCTGCTTTCCTTAGTGGCATTTAGAAACTACCTGGCTTTAAAGAAAACACACATGTTTGTTTTGTAAAGCAGAACAGAAACAGTGTGTTTAAAGGGGAGCCATTCTTAGTAATTCGGCTTTCTGGGACAAAACAATCGGAGTCCTGCTACCATATGTGTGTTCTTTGCTTGCTGGAAAAGCTAATTTGAAGATGGTGACTGCTTCCCTAATTTCTGTTCCCAAGCTCACTAAGGCGGAGGGAATGTGTAGGTAAGGCTGTCCAGGTGACAGTGTTCCCAAAGGGTCGAACGGTTTCTGGCTGCAACTGCGGGTATTTGGGGAATAACAGACTATAATGTATAATGAATGCTGGGTCTTTCCTGTTCCTCCCATCATGCTTTTCCCTTTCATGCAAGGATATCACCTAATCTGGGGTTGTCTCCCACCAACGGTTTATGCCTCTTTTTTAAATTTTATAGAAAAAAATTCAAAACAATAGGAAAATAACAATAGTTAACACATTTCACATTGTTATCTTTACAGTAGTTACTCAGAGTACAAGATATAGGCATGAAAAATTGTTCAAATGATTTTAGCACAACCCTTTTCAATAAACTAAGCCGATTTTGATTCTTTTTTTCCTTTTCTCTTTCCTCCTCTCCCCCACCCCTGTTTCTCTTTCCTTTTGAAGTTTCTTCTCATTTCACAATATCTATTACACATCTTGGGTCTTTTATGCCTTTTTTTGAAAGCAAAAACTGCAATGTGATAAAACTAAAACTTACCAATACCCTCTTATCAGTCTTTGACAAGAATTTGAAGATGCTTCTTACGGTTTCCATGGCATCTCTTTTCTGCCCTGATACACATTCTCTTTGGTAATTTTCAAATTTACATTGTCCAGTAGTCGTCTATAAAAGGCAGAGAAGCAAAAAAAAAAAAAAAAAAAAAAAAAAAAAAGGTTATTTTCAACATTGGAAAGGATAAACACAGCATGGTTTAAGAACTTGTAATTATGTTTCCTAAACTGTATCAGGTTGGTGGGAAATCATGAAAATACTTTGACAGAATTATTTAGGAGAGATTAAATCTCTGTGGCAAAACATGAACAAAATCCCAGCAAAATTTTCAAGGGTTGGATTTAGGTCTTCAGCTGACAGAATGATCTTATAGAATACTGGACTGGAGAGGATGAAAATGAAATTTGAGCATTAGCCTTAAATTAAACATTTCTTTGGCTTAATGGGCAAAACAAAATACTATTGCATGTTCTATTATCTAAATCTGGAATTCAAGTAAAATTTTAAAAGTATACTGAAGTAGGTTTGAAATATATATTTCAGTTGAATATTTTTCTTAAAACCTGAGGCAAAAAGAATTGTGGTCAGTAAGAGATAACTGAATTCATAAATGATTTAAATATTGCGTTTTTCTTAAAAAGCTCTATTATTGAACTTTCGACAGCAGCTCCAAGCTTTACAGAGAATTTTTACCAACTAAATTAGTTCACCATATCCATATTAGAGAAAATGTATTTTAGTACAGATAATAGAAGAGTTTTACTATATAAGTCAAATGAAGTTCCAGTATTGCTCTACACTTCTAAAGCAATGTATAATATTCAAAGCATTAATGCATAGTGAATTCATAGTGTTGAATGAGACAGAAATAAGTGAACAGAAATCACTGTCATAGCAATACTCCTAAAGAATAAAAAATTGACCTGCATTTGTTTTAGTATTTAGGGCATACTGAATAAAGATCAGAGAGAAGGCTCATTTTTACCTGGACATCCAAAACGTTGAACAGCTTATCAGTTTGGGGAACAAAAGCATTTGGCACCATGATTTCCACACTCACATTTGGAGCCATGCTAATGCCTGTGTTGATAACCTGATGAGGAAAAATTTTAAAACAATTTAAAGATGCAAATCAGTGAGGTTCTGGGTGACCCGCAACATGTCTAATGGTGAGGGTTTGTTGCTGGCAGTGAGGCAGCAGAGGGAGAGAGGGCATCTACACTCAGAATATTAAAAGTTGATTAATAAATTGATCAGTTTTTAGTTTTCTCATTTTGGCTTTTTGTTTCCAGCCAAAAGTCCAGGCTTAAGAAAGAGACCTCATCAGCAGACATTCGCATGTCACATTATGCACTTTAAAACCATGGCTGCTTGGTCCCTATAGTCTGGGAGGTGGGTAAACATTTGTCATTGTGCCAGCCGAGGAAAAACGCTCAGAGGTGTTCCGGATGTTCCAGTGATGAAATTTTAAAAAGGGACAAGAGTTGAATTCTTGGTATTCTATTTTTAACGCCTATTATATTTTCACAGTATCATTCCAGGCTGAGAGGATAATTGTCAGCTGTAAATGAATAAAAATATATTCTAAAATGTTTTATTTAGGATAATTATAATGCTAAATGTATTTATAAAAATGGGTAAAGTATGTTATTGGTTTTCATGAAGAGCAGCAGATTCTTAATAAAACTGCATAAAAGGTTATTTGGTGCCTGTTGATAAATTTGGGGGTTACAGCTCCCTGAGAGAGGAGTTTGGGCCCAAATGTTGCCTACTGCGAGCTAATTATAAAGTCAATACAGTAAGCCAGGAAAAAATTTCCAACAATGTCTGTGCAAAACACAGATGACTCATAGACCTGCAGTCATCTTCTGGGTACAGACAGCACAGATGGAGACCCCGTGCCTGCATTTCGGACAGGTGCTTAATCACAGAGCAACTGAAAGGTCAACAGTGGGTCCAGGGAATGACCGTTCTAAATCGCAGTTCACTTCATCCCTGATCACCACCTACCATTCAGACCTCCAGCATCTGTGTGTGTGAGCAGACCCTTTCAAGTGCACATTTGTGTAACACTGTGGACCTCCATTGCACACTAATTAGAAAATACTTAGTGGTAAGTTAATAAATAAATAGGCTTTCTAGAGTCCAGCTTTGTTTCTGTTTTAGTTTATCATAGCACAGCCCCTCACTGAGTTCTAGCAAGTATTTCGTGGGACTTCAAAGTAGATGAAATTGTTTCAGCATTATATAGCAACACAACAAAATCCCAAGGAGATATACATGAGGGGATTTTAAGGCCATTCTTTTCAATAGATCTAGGGCAGGCCCAGAAATCTGCATTTTTGTATGGGCACCACAAGTGATCCTAATATTTTGTAAAGTGTCACCTTGGAAAATAGAATATACTGTACCCACTGCAGGGTTCACAGTCTACGGATTGCTATATAAGATCAGGATGGTGCTTTGGATTCAAAAACGTTTTGCAGGCATGATCTATTTACTCAGAATTTCAGTTTGACAGCATATTTATAAATTTTATATCAATTTATTAACATTTCCAGAGCATGATGGCATTCTGTACTTTTAAAAAGATTGTTCACTGGGGCTGGGAATTTAGCTCAGCGGCATAAGCGCCTGCCTTGCAAGCAGGCAGTCGTGAGTTCGATCCCTGGTACCGATAAAAACGAAAAAGACAAAAAAAAAAAAAAAAAAAAAAAAGATTGTTCACTAATTGATAGTGCTAGTCACAGGCCGTAAATCTGTGGAGGCGGGAGGCAGGAGCTTTCTTTACTTGGTAATGTTAGGACCATTGTAAAGCTCAACCCAAGAAGAGGTCCACAGATGCCTTCCCTGGGTCTGTCATCCCTGGTACGTGTCTCCACTGGGGTCAGCTCACCCTGTAACTGTAACTGCCTATTGCAGGCATGACCTCTCGATGTGTTAACTGTCCTGTAAGGCTTGGTAGCTCTTTTTGCAAATGGAAAGGGGACCAAGAGGAACTAAGGAGGACAGGGAGGGGAACGAGAAGCAAAAAGAGTTAAGATGTGTTATGCATGTGTACCGAGTCCCTATGATGAATGTAATCACTTATGCAATGCAAACCTGTACTAATATAAAAAAAATAAAGCAAATGGGAGGAAAACCACAGGCTGAGAGGAAAAGGCCCTAGTCTCAGTGCAGCAGCTTCTGCAGCAGCCGTGGTCGCGGGGGCCAGGGGCCTTCAGAGGGGTGGGAGCAATGCATCAGCAGCAACCCTCCAGTTCCACAGAACAGACACAATCAGCTTTTCTTACATGGAACGTGAAGTTCATTTTCTCGCTCACGCATGATTCGAGTTCACTGTCCTCAGTTGAGCCATACATGAAGGAAGTTGGATTCACAAACCTGAAACAAAGAAAAGTCTTTGTACACACCATATGCTCCGTGTTACAGCATACTTAAGAGGTACACAGGCTACTCGGGGTTTATTTTTGTGGGTTATTCTGACCACGTAAGAAGATTATGGGGCCATGTGCTTTGAACTGAGTGACTGTGTTTTATTCACCATGTATTTTTTTAACCTTCCCAAGCCTGCCTGCTTCATGGTGCTGACCATTCTGCCCTCTCAGCACCAAAATGATTCATACATATTTTGCAACTGTGAAGTATATCCTTAACTTTCTCTTGGGGAAATCTAACCTACTTTTTGGTTATTTTTTTTATCCCCAATCCTTGTTGGCTATTTATAATGAATCCCAAGTCTGGGGAACAGCTCACACACTGCCAAGTATCATCATCTTCCTGTTGGAATACAAGGTTGGCATTCTTTTTCACTTGATTTGACTTATGTATGGTCAGCAGTGAACACTGGAAACACACTCAGGAAGTCCTTCACAAACTGCTGTTTTGGCAGCCAACATTAGACAATGTCATATTTTAGGGACCCCTTAAACAGGAAAGAAATCAAATCAAATGGTGTATGTAGTCCTTTTTTTTTTAGCTTAATGGCTGTAGGATATCCCTTGCCCAAAGCAATGAGATGTGAAAACTGGGAACAATACTCAGCCTAAGAAAATCAAAGGATGAGAGGTGGTATAAATACTCAAAGCCAGGAAAGGTACAATCACCTTTTATTTGTGTATCCACTGACCCTCAAGGTCCTCCTGTAAATTGTCTCCTTTTTTGTTTTATCTCAAACTTGACAATTCCATCAGGTTTAGAGATAGACATTTTATGTCTATATACTATAACTATGACATTTTTATCAGTGGTTAAAATGATTGTTTATATTTAGAGCAACCACGAAAGCTCCTTTAGTAATGCTTTAAAAGCTACAGTTTTAAACAAAGAGTAGGAGACTGAATAATTGCCGATGAAATTAGGAGAGATTTCCTTAATCCTGCTTTCATTCTTTCTTCACTATTTGAATCAGAAGAGAATCCACTCAGCAATTACTAAAATCTTGAAGAAGCAATGAAGGCCGCCCTGAGGGCTGTGATCACAGAACTCTGTGATTCCGGAAATTTAAAGGGTGACAAGGGACACCTTGCAGCCAGTTCCCTCATGTCTGTCCGCTTGCCACGCAGGTAGCTGTGGGGTCTGGAGAGTGGCAGTTTGGCCAAGCTTGTACTTTTGAACTTCACACTCGCCAGGGATGTAATTATGTAAACTGCACACTCAATAATGCTGGACAACCCTACACTGCAGCCTACAACTGAAAGGCTCACTGTTCCCTGCTAGGAGCTCACTGGGGCCCTTCCAGTAAGTGGTCTCCACCAGCTGAGCATGAGTTTGATGCAGTATCAGTGATGATTATAGGGTAGATTAAAATAATGAACAATAAGTAAAAAGCACTGAGGTAACTGCTAAGAGACAAAATACCCTTCTAATTTAATGTTAAAATATGATTCTCATTAACAGAAGCAGGGCCCTTGTATTGACTACTTACCCATGCACAGCAAGCATAACCTCATATCTTAGAGGTATTGTTACAGTCACTTTGTTGTCCATTAGCTTGTTCATTTCTCTTTCATTTTCACTACAGAAACAGAATATGCCCTGTTAGGATCCAGTAAGCATGATTATGTTTGGGGAAAGTAATTTCATTCTATGTGTACCTAAAAGAATGCTTAGATCTTGGTTTAACAAATGCTTTTGGAGGAGTAGGGGTAAACAGTGTGGCAGCAGAAATATTTAAGGGCAGAGCAGGGAGAGATTTGGTGCAATTTAAGTGGTTATTTACTTATACATGGTTTTTTGATGGTTTTTAAATACAGCAGGTTAGAAAAGGTTTCTACTATGGACATTAATGTAACATGGTTCCTCAAAAAGCCCCCCCCCATATAAGATTGTAATTCCTCTACTATAATTTGTTCTTTATAATAAACTGTACCAGGAGGCAAGCACTGTGATGTTGAGGTCTTCATCTGCTCTGCGAAGAGAGCTCACATCCAGGAGAAAGCTGACATCCATCTGCAAAACACAAAAGACTACTTCAAAACAAAACTGAACAATCTAAAACACATTTTTTTGTCATCTGAATTTTAGTGTTTTTCTGTGTGTATGATCTATTTTTTGATGGACTACATACTTAACACTGTTCTAGAGGTATAAGCTAGTCCTTCCTCAGCAGTAAAATGCAATTTGAAAGTGCAAGCTTTTCCACAAGTAGCGTTCAGAGACAAAGCCTACTCAGAATGTAAAGACAGGCAGGTCCAGACGGACAAAATTAGAAATGCTTTAACAACTCGAGTAGGGACTCTTGCCAAAAACACCTTTTTTGTGTGGCAGAGGTAACATGCCTGGCAGACAGGGCCACCTGGGGTGGGGTGGGGGTGTTGGAGAGGGAGTGTGTGCGGGGAGGGGGGTAGAGTTCTGATTGACATTCACTTGCCCACCTCGACATGAGCATGCGCACCCCCCTCGTAAACAGTGAAGACTGCCAAGAATACACACACAAAGCTCAGACATTTCAGACTCAGTTCAGTTTGCCATGACTGCATCACTTCCCACTTTAAGTAAAAATGTATACCTGTTATGTGCAGCATAAAGGTAGGGTGGGGAGAAAAAAATATACCCCTGTTAGTAAACAAAAACCATCCATGCTAAATACTTACCCTGGAGAGATGATCTACATATATATAACCAAGGGTGCAGTCGAGTTTGACTGTGCCAGAGGTGTCTGTAACCTCACAGTTTATTTGCTTCTCTCCCTAAAAGGAAAAATGAAAATGGTTTGGCTAGGAAGGAGTAAGAAATTTATAACATGTTATGAGATGGTTTTGAAAAGAAAGTGACCCTAGGAGTACTGCCTTTTCTAGGAAATCATTTTCTCTTTAGAGACAAGTAAGCAGACATGTAAACCATGTAAATATGTACATAGATATGTATATTATAATATTCACATAAACTCTCCCTTGAGAAATTCCTAGCCTTTATTCTCTTTGGCATATACACTCCGACTCTGACTTCTTGTTCCTTGAAATAGGATGCAAGGAATGAGGAAGGTCTATACTTCATTACATCCTGTATGTGAAAGTGTATTTGAGATATTTAAACACAGTAATAATAATAGTTATATTTTAAAGATGTATTTCATGAATACCCTGAGCTGCTTCTCCTTCCTTTAAACAGGTTCTAGTGCTCTACAGAAATGTGTTAATACCTTGTCAGAGCCCTCTCTCAACACCCCTGGTTGTAAAGAAGTAGATCCCGGGTAGGATACAGGTGAATTTGCTGAGCAATAAAAATCTCAAAGGAGAAAGCAGCTGAGGCTTTTGTCTCTGAAATTTCATCTTCTTTCTCTTTCAATGGTGCTGGTAAATGCCCCTGAATAAGGCCCAGTGCTAAGAAAAGACTTCCAAAGGCTCTCAGCTCTCTGGGAAAAGGAGACCTTGCTTAAGAGTTTGCTTACCATCCAGATTTCCAAATCAGTTCCCATCCCCTACTCCTTGATTACTGCTTTTGACATACTGACCGTCCTTTGGGGGGAAGAATCACAGGGTCAACCCCCGGTGTCTGCCACAGAACCTTACATGCTATGGCAGTAAAAAAGCAGTGGCATCCAAGTGATTCTCTTCTTCCAGCACCGGAAGCAGATGCCTTCAGATCTGAGAGCTCAAGGAAGCGGCCTTGCTGAGCAGGGGCATGGAGGAAGTCTTAAAACAGCCAGGAGCCTAAGTCATAAGTCTAAATATTAAGACTTATGCTATAATTACTTACACCCCAAATCCATGAAGTAAATTATACCACTTAACATTTTAATAAAATTAAGTCACTAAGTTGTGTCTTGCTATACTGTGGTTTACAATATACTTACCAGGTCTAACATCTTGATGAAGTAAAGCCCCGTGGGTAGTCTGATGTGAAGAGTCGTTTCATAGGCGTCATCCCCAGCATTGAACAAGGACACATTCAACATTAACGTCTTCATGCTCCCAACGGCAAGATAGGTTTTATTTTCGTATGGCCTAAAAATTAATTTAATTCTTATTTAGAAAACAAAAATTCCATCTCCATATATGTACTATTTATATTGCACTGAAATATTAATTTAGAAAAAATGTGGAATGACCCTCATACAAGCAAATTTGTATGTATATTAAAAGAACTCAATTTTTCATGTTCAGTCAGCTATTTCATTTTAAATAAATCCAATCAGCTATTACTAAGAACTGTTTGTTTTTTTAACTGGATTTAATGAATTGGTCTGTCTTCTTTTCCACTACTTCTATAATTTTAATGTTTTCCTTGGGCTTATGCAGTGTTTGTAAGAGCAAAGCATTTTGTTTTGTTTTGTTTTTGTTCAGTCTTTGAATAGTCACTGAACTAGCTGCTGCGAAACCAAAGGATAAAAATCAAGGAGTAGGGGATGGGAAAAAAGGAGAATGAGAAAACAGAGGGAAATTTTGGTACAAGTGAGAAAGGTATGGGTCATAACCACCATGCCCAGCAACTGGGTGGCACTAAAATCTGCAGGACTACAATTAATCTCTGAGGCACTGTGACTGACCATGTCTACCAACAACTAAGGCAAATTAAAAACAGAGTTGCAGAAATTCTTCACCATCCTCTGAACCGCAAAGGTAGGATGGCTGCCAATCCAGAGTAAGTTTAAACCCTGGGACTGCTACCGGTTCTTCAGTGTAAGGGGATTTAAGCATTTCTATGTTTTGGTCACTGATCTATCTAATGAGAGATAATAAAAGTTAATATCACCATTCAGTGAAGTTTGGGTTATGCATATTCCATGAAATCTTCAGATTGATTCCTTCAGGCTGAAGGAATTTATCCAAAGATTGTAGCTAGAATGTTCTAAAACCTCAAAGCAATTGCAGATTGCCTTACAGCCCATTTTCTTTCCTAGTAAGAAGGTTAGGACAGCTGAATGCTAAAGAAAACTTTCAGTTACAGTATGGTACGATTTTATAAACTTTCCAGAAAGACAGAAAGCTTTGGTTATCTAGTAATCAAAAAATTAGAAAGATTAGTTCAAGTTAGAGGAGGATGTGACCCAAAGTAAATAATCAGGTAGATTGTCTTAACAATAACAGATAATCACCCAGCACTTCAGCACTCTGAAGGTTTCTTCTAAAATGTTCAAATTGTGCAATTCTTCTAAACATGCATAGATTAATATTTGAATAAACTCTTCACAAAACAGTAAATGGAATAGACATTTAACAGCTGTTTGTGAACTGATTAAAATAAAGGGACTATTTAAAAATAGTGCCTTAGAATTTGTGTTTTTAAATATTGCTTGAAGATTCACAAACACCTATAATTTCTGTACAGTAAAATCAGGCATTAAATTTGTTGTTCCTTGACAGAAACATAATCTTCACTCCATGTAGACCTGACACAGCCAAAGAAAGATTTGTAAATAAATGTTGAAAAATACTAACATGTGGGAAAGACTTAGGAATGAGAGGCTCTGGAACCAGGGAAGGAAAGCACTTTGTCTGGGAGTAGCAAAGGCTTATCATTTTTTGTTTTCCTATTAATACTGATTATTTAGATTGGCTATTCCTAAGAAGGTCTTTTTAAAAAGAAAGCCTGACAAGTTCACGATTGAACCGGAGTTAAAGTAGTTTGCATGCATAGATTGATTTCTCTTTTCTAAGTCCTCCTCTCTTCTAATCCAATCAGCAGACTGCCAGGTCATTTTCCACAAAGCAAAGCAATCTGGGCAATGCCACATGCTTGTGTAGTGGCTTCCAGGGCCTTCCAGATAAGAGCTCAGAGTTCTTAGCATGACAGCTGAGGCCTCTGGGAGCTGGTCCTGCTTCACCTCGACTGCACAGGTCACCCCTCGCTTCACCCTACAAGTGAGTGTCCAATAGCACCGAAGTGTGTTGTGTTGCTCTGGCTCTGCCTCTAATGCCACGTCTTTGTGCACTGGTAGACCTGTTAAGATTCAGTTTGAGTATCAGTAACACAGAGTTTCTTCCAGCAAAGACTGACTGGTAACTTGCATGCTACAGCCTCCTCCAAACCAGAAGAAAGGGTGGCCTTGCACTCTTTCAAACATCCTGGGTGCTTCTATAATGCAGTGTTTTCAAAATTTCTAATCAATCCCTGCTTTCCCTAATCACTAGCCTGGTATCTGGAAGGGAGGATGCTAGACCTCGATCATCACTATTGTCTCAGTGTGCATGCACACAGGTATGGTGTGTATTCATGTATTTAAAAAGCATTGGGTTATACTCAAGGGATGTGTAAAAGTCAGAGAAGTTGTCAGTAAAAATTGATTTTTAAAGTTTTTAAAATTGTCCATATAAACTTTGTCAAATTGAAGCTGGAGAGTTATGTTTTGTGCTGTGAGATTTCACAAATTTCATGTGTTTCACTAAGAAAAAAATCTTACATGACCACCTTCATGTGACTCACACTGCTAACATTTTAGTGGCAACACACCTACTGAAATAACCACGTTAATGTCATAATTAAATGACAATAAAATCAATACCAGGAAGAAAGGAAATGTCATTTTTTTCAAAATTACTACTTCTCATGACCTCAGAATGTGTAAACCAAATTCTAATTTTTAATACTTCTCCCAATTTTAATACCAATTAGAAATTAGACAATTCAGTTAAAACTTCTTCCTCTTTTCCTGATTCCTCACCTTCAAATTTATTATCAAAACATATGTATAAAAAAGCACATTTTCTAAATATACAACTCAATAATTACTTTATGAACTGAATATACTAGCACCTGGATTGAAAAAAAAAACAATTACACTTCCCCCCAGTTATTACCCTAACCCACTAAATTCATTTGTAATACTTATGATCTGATTTTGCTGGTTTTACATTTTATATAAATGGGATCTTCGCATTGATAGTCCTTTTACTCTGTATCTACTCTCCTGTATGTGGCTTCTTTTACTCAAAATTTTGTTTGTGAGATTAACCTACATAAGTATTTGTTATGCTCATTGGTGTCTATATTCCATCTTGCATGTCACATTGTTTATTCCATCCAGTTATCAGTGGGAAGTCAGCAGTTTCCAGCTGATAGCTCTTCGTCTTTTGGTGAACTTACACATGTAGTTTTGTTGGGACAAATCCTTCCCCTCTATCACTTCTCTATATCTACCTGAGAGCAGGTTCTCAAGAGTTCTTTTAAGCCTAGAATTAATTCTTTAAAAATCTCTGAATCTTGGTTTTTCATAACTAGTTTAAGTTATATTAACAAGCTAGATATAAACAATAAAAGATCCATGAGAAACTATTTTCACATTACAAAAATTAAAGACAGGCTCATAATTTCCATATAAAAAGTAAGCGTGTCATACAACAGTGGTCTACAAAATACTGCCCAAAGGTCAAACTCACATCTCTTCTTATAAAAGTTTCGCTGATACACAGCCATGTTCAGTTTTGATTCTGTAAGGGCACAGCTGAATAGCAAACACTGAGATTTGTCTTTAAAAGACTAGAATATTTCCTATATCTTCACAGAAAAAGTTAGGTTGGGATGGTTCCTGCTGTAAAACAATCTGATTCATGAGAACAGTGTCAAAATCAACATACAATGTAATATTGATTTTATTAAAATTTACTGAGTTTGACAATAGAGGCTTCCTTATTTCAGATGGCACAGGATTTATTCATTTACTGTGAGCAGACGGTATTAAAGAAAGCGATCTCCCAGCCTTTCTCTGGTGGTGGTACTGAGGTTTGAATCTAAGGCTTTTACCCCAAGCTACATCTCTAGCTTTTCATTTTGTATTTTGAGACAGCATCCTACTGTTTTTAACTTCTCCATAGAATGCCACACAATGAAAGATAAATAAACGAAGAACACTTCTGTGCGTACCACGTCTAGTACTGATCCCTAGCTTTGCAAAGTTAGATGCTGCAGGAAGAACATGTAAGAACAAAGTGGTGATTCCAAACCTTGGTTTTCATTTCCGGGTGGGGTGAAGGATCGTCCCTGAGTGATGGTGGTGACTTACTCAGTCCCAGGAGGGAAACATTTGGGTTAAGTCCCTATATGCTGGCTGGTGGCACTTGTTAAGTGGGAGTGAGAAAGTATACTGGAACACAGTTTTCCAACATCCCCCTGTGTTCTCTAATCAAGTTACTACTAAAGGAACCAAGAGGTTCCAAAAGTAAACTTCAGCTTGACATTAAAGTTTAATTAAGACTTGTGGAAGAGCTGCCTAGAAATAGACGTTTATAAAATATTCTGGCTTGTAACCAAAGCATTAGTCACCGAACACCTTTGGGAAAGAAGCTGGCACTTACACAAGCAACAGAAGGTGAAATCACTGTGTCTGTAGCCAGGATCCAAGACAACAGCAAATTAGAGCGCAACACAATGTGCACATTTCAGCAGTGAGACTCCTGGTTTATTTTCCAATTTTAAGCTATTTTGCCGCATTACCATAATTACAATTTTACTCTTCAAATGTTCTTCTTACTGTATCTTGCTCCATTAGCATGGAGCCTTTGGAAAGCTATCCACCAGCTTTCTGTGTGAGACATAATAAAGGACCAGGTGCACATCTGGACCTGAGACAAGACCGAGCCGATGCTTTCCCTGGGACTCATAGTTCACTCTTCATTAAAGCACGCATAATGCAGACATGAAATTTACAAAGCAACCTTGAATCCACCTACCTAAAACACATCAAGGCACCATGTACATAGAGAATCATAACTCAATAAGTTAGAGAGGAAAAAATAGAAAATATGTTATATATCAGCACCAGACTCTAGGTTTTCCTAAGTGAACAATATCACCTGATTTTGCAAGAAATGTTCTCTAAGTCTTGGTATAATAAATATTCTTTGTGAATCAGGGTTTCTGCATAAACTGATTTTTAATGACGATGGTAGAAATAATTAATAACATGACACTACATCATACTATGCTGTCATATTTTACTGTGTCACAACATGTGATAAATTTGTTTGGTAAAAGATGACCCTGGGGTAAGTGGTCTAAAGACCTCAGTGTAATTTTATTTTTACTTTACTGTTGAATCCAAGAAAGATGAAAATGCTGAAAAGACCTTGCCTACTGGAATAGATGCTATCTGACATTAAAGAGAATTTATTAAATAAAGGTAAACTCATTGACATCAAGAGGAAGACATCAAGAGAACTTGGACTGAAAAAGTGGGATGGCAATTAGCATGTTTTAGTGTGCAAAGCATGTAATTCATCTTCCTAGAACTATCTGAAGTCTGTGAGTATCTATGTCTACTGCCTCTCTTTTGAGGACAGTTTCATTAGACTAGTCCTCAAGAGTTAATAGCATAAGGGCAGAAGTGGATCATGGACTCTTGTCTACAATAGTGTTTTCCTCTCTTATGGATAATACAACCCCAGTTACTCAGGTAATAGGCAGCATTTCCTTGATATTGACCCCTAGGCTCAGATACAAGGATAGAACCATGTCATGTGATCATGGCAACTACTCTTCCTTCAACCATGGCAGATTCAGGGGAATATATATGATACAAGTCAGGTTAGAATAAGTCTGATAAGGTACTTTCCTTCCTGGAAAAGAAGCCTTAAAAAGAAAATGCGTTTTGAGACTGAGGATTTAGCTCAGCAGCATAAGCACCTGCCTTGCAAGCAGGCAGCTGTGAGTTTGATCCCCGGTATCGATTAAAAAAAAAAAAGAAAGAAAGAAAGAAAATGCATTTTAATCTTGGAGCTTATTTCTTGCTTGGAACCTTGATTGCTGCAGCCATGTTGTGACGTGGAGGAAAAAGTCAAAAGAATGGAAAGATGGTTCCCCAAAGCCTCATGTGGTCACGGAGGCGGCTGAATCTAGCATTTGTGACTGGTTGGTTTCTAGCAGTGGGATTGGCGGCGTGAGTGCTGCACCCTCCCAGGAGTGGGGAGCTGGGATACAACATAAGGAAGGAAAGAGGTGTGATTTTCTTCCTTTGCCCTTTTGGGTCTTATTGCTTGTGGCTGCCATGAATGACTGCCCCTGAGCCATGCCACCCTGCCTTGGAGCCAAATGAGTATCAGCTGAAACCCCAAAAAACTGTAAACCAAATCTTTCCTTCTTTCATTTTGTATGTCAGGTATTTTGTCACAGGATGAGAGAAAAGTAACCAAAACAGCCACCACTGTATATAGTCTTTGGTAGTTGCTCACAACTGCAACCTCCTTCCCCCAGACTGTTTATGAAAACTAAATTTCTTTACTGTTTAAGCCACTAGCAGTCAGGCATCATTACATGCAGTTAAAGCACCCTAATGGTATAAAAGCAATTGTTCAGGGAAGGCCTGCATTGCTTACTCTAAAACTATGGAAAAGAAGTAACCATTTACATCATTAGATTGTTTTGATTCAAGCTGCTATGTGATGGCTAACCCTTCTGTTATGTTTGTAAAGTCCTATTTGCTCATCTTTCTTTTGCAATGGAAATTATTTGATGTGGTTTATTGTCCTGAGAACTTAACCATGCAGGAGGCAGCTTGCTTTAATTAAGAGATGGGACAGCTTGCATCAGCACTGCTGAGGGCACTGGTGGCAGCTTATTATTTCTAGCTTCAGACACTCATTCTTTACTGAGTGAATACATTTACCTAAAGCGGGTTTAAAGTTCTGAACCACATACGTACCATTCATACCAAGGGGGAGACAGCCAAGAGCATGCATAGAACATGTATCAATTGGCCTCCTCCCTGAGAAAGGGAAATGAACACCTAAGTGGGGAGCATATTTTTGTTAAGAGTATAATTTACTAAAAATGCAAGGCAGTTTGTCAACAGCTTTCACTGTGGATGTGAAGCCTAATTAGAAGAGCTTTTATTTGAAAGTTCCTCAGTAAGTTACCACCTACCCTAGCAGAAGTAGCTTCCAACTTTCCTAACTGAAGAAAGAGATCCTGGCCTTCCTACTTGACACTGGCATTCGTGTTACTGCATGTCTCCTAAGACTGAAAAGCTTCCATCCAGTCACGGTTAGCAGCACTCTTGGGATGCCAGCCACATATACAGAATGATGTTCAGAAGGCAGTCTTTTATAAACAACCTAAAAGCTGCCATAATCTGCAAGTACCCCAAGCATAGTATAGAGCACTCTCTCGTTAGCCATGGGCATATGTTCCAAGACCATCAGTGGACACCTGATCTGAAATACAGTATACTTATACCCTAAGTATACACGACACCATGGTTTTTCTGATACATATGATAAAGCTTATTTCATAGATTGGATATAGAAACAAAAAGGTAACAATGATCAAGAAAATCTAACAATATTGTACACTAAAGTTACCAGCATCACTACTTATGTGAGTGGGTCCAAAATTAAGCAAGGTGGGATTCTGCGATGGTGGATCTGATAACCAGGACAGCTACTAATAAGTGGCTGGCAGGGTAGGTCATGTACACATTGCAGGACAAAGTAGGACAGAGGGCTTTCATCATGTTACTCAGAACTGAGGAAAACCTGGGCCTTATGAATTATTTCTGAAATTTTTTATTTACTTCATTCAAATCACAATTCAATCATTAACTGACACTGTGGAAAGTGAAACTAGGGAAAAAGACATGCTAGAAAATATGAATTATTTTGGCTCAGGCAATACCAACATAGCCTTGGGCATCCACACTTGCTGACTGGAAGATCTTACCTATTTGGTATTTGGTAATTTATTCATGCCTTTAATCTTTTTCTTTCTTTCTATGGTACTGGGGAATAAACACAGTCTTTGCATCAAGCAATATCCTCAGGCTTTTTGTTTAGTTTTGTTCTTACTAAGTTGCCTGGATTGGGCTGGATCTTGCAACCCTCCTGCCTCAGCCTGGCAGAGTGCAAAACAATGTCAATCGAGGGGATCAGACAGGACACAACATTCCAGGGCCTCATCTTGCAGCATGGCAGCCCTTGAATGTCTAGTTCTCACTGCACACCGCATGTGATCCTAGCCACGTTACCTACACAGTCTCTACTCTCCTGTGAATTTAGATGAGAACACTGGTTTATTTCTTTTCAAATTTGTTGTACATGTGCTATTTCATATATTAGTTTAAGCAATATAACAGTTTTCTGAGTGTCAAACTAAGCATTGTACTGTACGGTGAAATTTTATTTTGCTACCAAAACTATTAACAAGTCCTAAAGAATGTTAAAACATACCATGATATCCCAAGGAGCAATTACACTCAGATATAGCTTCAATAAGAGATGAAAGCAGGCTCCATAAAACTGTACTACTCATATATATTCATTCTTTTGAAATGCAGCACCCCTTGAGTGCATACTTACTGTAACATGTAATTGTGTGTATACATGTATAGGTAAAATATGTACTAGTAGCCAAATCTAGTGGAGAATGTATATATAATCTCTTTCAACACATTATTCTTTTCTAATTTTTTGAATGCTGTCAAAGATTAGTCCCTTTTTCTTTGAAACCCATACACACATATGTATGATGTCCTCTTAATAAAAAAATATTGTGAACTTACTTGAAAAATCCAATTTTTGCAGAAACTTGTAAATCAGCAGAACAATTTTCATGGGCACAAAACCTTGCAAAATTTATCTGAAAACAAAATACGGTAATATTTTTTCAATCAGTAGATATATTTGTATGTAAAGAACAAGACATCTTTGATACAGGAGAGAGACAAAATTAACACATCAGGTTTGGAATTTATTTTATTTCCTAAGAGTTCCATCTGAGCATTATTGGGTTCAAAGGACACAGTAGCAGTGCCAGAGAAACTTAATTCTTCCAGGAGGTAAATTTAAAGCCTAAATTTGTTAAGTGAAATGAGGTTTAAGAAAAGTTAAATTAAAGGCACGCTGTAGATAATTGGAGAATATCAGCTGCCAAAATGTTCTTAATCAACTTTCTTTCTATTTTCTGGTGCTATATTTTGATCTTGTTTATTATACAAAAGCATCACACTTATTTAATTTTGGCAGATGGGAGGACAGTGATTTTAGATTCATTGAAAATAGCTAAGTATAGAACTTGAGAAATTTTACTTTGAGCAAACAGAACAAAATTCAACGGTAGTCTACTGTAAGGATTCCCAGAATTGATTCAATTGAACACTGAAGTAGGATCCATGGATGCTAAGAGATCCATGGGAAGATCGGAAGGGTAAGCAGGACAAAAGAAAAACAAACAGGAAGAAGAATGATAGGGATAAATGAAAGAAGGAGAGACACAGAAAAGGGAGGATCCAGAAAGTCGAAAGTTACTGGAGCATTGTAAATTTGCCAGACTGCAGACTGCCATGTTCAGAGAGGAGGGGCATAGATTTTCTCTACATGATCAAGTGAGCAAGATGTCCCCTGCGAGTCCTTTTTGTAAAGCAAGTTGTCTGAAGAACCAAAATGTAGATTAATATAACTACAAATCGCCAGTATTATGGATTGCATGCTTGCAAGACTGATATCATCAAGACATTTAAAATTAGTTCTTCCTGAAAACTGGCACCAACAGCAAAACAACCACTGACTTCTATACTTTCATACGAGTAAAAGAAAATGTGTCCCCAAGTTTTGATGTGCCCTTAGTATTCTAGATCAGATAGTAGTGATGATAAACTCAGGAACAGTTGTGATTAAAGGTCACTTAGGTGTAATTTTTCCTGGACAGGATATGAACTAGAGTTTTACCTGTCCCTTTCATCTCTTATGTTTGTGGGTTATTTTAATGTATTTTTTTTACCATGCCTAAACCCACATCCCGTTGATTGTATCTTTGCATTGCTAGATAGTAAAGTTCTGAACCATTGCACTCCAGGGACTAAATGCACCGTCAGTGAAGCAAACATTTTGGGAGAATTTTGAAAAAGCAATTCACTCCTTGGAACGCAAGATCCAACTTCAAGTGGAACCGAACTTGGGAGGTGACTAAAAAGAATGTGATACCACTTTTTAAAGAGAGGAAATTACATTGTCTAAGTATATATGCTATAGATGAATCAGACAGATAGGCGACTGGAATAATAAGACAGAATGGATCCCTGGATAGGGCAAGTGAGAGAAAGGCACAACCAGAAAAGGAGACAGGATGAGAAAGAGGAAGATAAACCGAGCTCACATGAAGACACTGAGTAACTAACTCAAGAAGCAACTTACTTCCATTATGCTTTCTCTCTAGTAATATATTCTCTTCACTGGCAAGGCATCGAGGAGAGAAAATTAACATTTTATATATATGGGGAACTATTGTTGTGGCTAAGTGCATATTTAAAATATTCAGTTCAATATCCTAAAGGGAATATAAAAAATAAAGAAACATGGAGAACAGGACACACTATGTTTTCTTAAATATCCATAAAATTTTTTAAAATTCAGACATACAGTTCATTTTTTTGGAATTATGCCATATTTTAAATAGCTCTCTAATCATGTCACAAAGCACTCCGAACAAAGGAAAAGGTTCGTACCGTTTTTTTTATCAAGTCTTTTTCTTTCTTCTGCTGAAGGATTGGCTGCAGGGGTGGGAATTCCTCAGCACTTCGTTTGCTGATGACGTGGTGCCCAAGGTGGTAAGCAGCTTCAACCTGGATTGGAGTGAGGATGTCCCGCACATCTTTCTAGGGAAATTAAAAATCACAAGAATAACAAAAATAAGCATGTTCATATATACACATTTTTAGGTGCATTTGTATGCATGGATATATATACATATACATATATATACATGTAAGTATATATATACATATATAAATGTAAAACACATATATAAATTCTTCCCAGAATAAGGTCAATTATGATACATGAAAGCCAAAGCCAAACCTAATCTTTCACCTAAACTACTGGGTAATATCTGGGTAGACGCCATTACACCAAAAATATTTTTTAACATGTATATTTTTACACAGTACAGAAGCATTCATGTTTCTTTTGGCAAATACAAAAGAAAACATACTGTAAAATGCAGAGCTGTAACTAATGGTATCTACAAAGGTATGCATTTCAGCATATTTCCTTCCATGCTGCTTTCTATAGTTTGAAAAATGACTTGGTATGGTAATGCAAATAGTTTTTACATTTATAAGCCCTATACTGTTGCAAAGTTTTAATCAACACTTTGTTCCATTTAAATTGCATTCTCTTAGTAACATTTGGATTCAGTATGATTCAACTGACTCCATGTTTACAATGCAGATTTTTTTTTGTTTTTTCCTATTTATTATGGACTATTTCCCACTCTAATGTCTAACTGATTATGGCTAGTATATGAAAATGTTAGTTTGCATCTTAGTTTATTGAATTTTATTACTAATTGTTCTCTTAGGTTTATTGTTCTTTTATATCTTGGACCTATTTATTAATTATGCAGGAATTATAACCCACTCACAATCAATTCTGCTCTGAGTAGTATTCTTAAATTTAATGTTACTAATTTCTGTACAATGATTTTTATTTCTGCTGTCACTGACATGTGGTCAAAAGCATAATTTGAGTAAATTTTAAATTTATTGTCTTCTTATCCCAAAGAAACAACTCAAGCTTATTAGAATTGACTATTCTTACAGTTAATCTTTACTTCTAGGCAGGCATTATTTTTCTCTTTAAAAGAAGTTTTCCATGAGTTTCTAAAAGTGATTTTATTATCTTTTCATTTGATTATTTGTTAGTCTCCTCATTGAAACCATCTAGCATTTAATTAAATTAGTTTTTCTCTAGATAGTGAACTGGAATCTCCAGTTTATAAAAACATGTGGAATTCACATAACATATAAATACAGTAGGCATCTCTTAGCACTGATTCAAGATCTCTTTCAGCAGAAATGTGGTTTCTAAAGCCCACTGAACAAAGTAACTTTTTTTTCTGTCTCTTAGAGGGCAGACTAATAAGATTTTACTAATAAAGTAACCCACTGGCATTTATACAAAGATCCAATTGACAATTAAATCATGTGCTATAACATTTGCTGAGACTAAGAATTAAAAGCAGAAATGATCTTAGGATTTGAGAGGGCAGTGCCCTATGCAGCAAATATTACCCAACACATAGACTGGTATGCTGTAGAAAATCTATGCAGTTTTTATTTCCCTTGGTTTGAGACCTGTTACTGTACCCAGAAGATAATTTGAAGAATTGGTCACAGACTTTAATGTCTTTCATACTAACAAATTAAATTTAAAGCTCAATTTAACTCCATATTTCACATGCCCATTTCAATCTACAGGTTCTTATTTTAAAGGATTGATTGATTCCATAAAGTCCTTCTTGACCATGTAAAAGACATGCTAGAGTTTTCAGCCAGGGTAGACATATTACTTTAAACTACACTGGAGGTTTATGTCTACGCTTCATGAGTTTCTCAGGATAGACCTATGGCACACTAAGGGACAGATCTCCCCACTGAAAAATGTCAGTCACTAAGGCTTCTGCTTATCTTAATCATTTATGGATCGGAATGTACTTAAATATCCCTGTCTAAAAGCAACAACAACTTATTTTCAAAGTCCATCAATAATCTGTCATTGATAGGAAATAATGGCTATTGCATAGATTATCGCTATTTACATCTATGATAACTTTTGATTAAAACCAATGAAATAAAGATGACTGATATCACAGAGGTTCTGCTTATCTTGTTTTTATATAATTATACGCAAAAAGGATCCAAGTTGCTTTGTCAATATTATCAGTGTATGTACATAAAGTTAAAAGTAAGATGGAGAGGGCAAACTCATGTTCGAATCTTGGATGTACCATTTATCTGACCTTGGACAAGTTACTTAGTTATCTGAAAACATGAATGATGGTGATGATACTTAGGCACTGTTGTGATGATTAAGTGACATAATATGTATTAAGTAAAAACTCACAAGTAGTGCATATAATATATACACACACGACAACCAAAGAAATATTAAACTTGTTTCTTAAAAACAGAAATGCCAGTGAACCTGCAGAAGGAATAGCTAAACTGGACTACTGCCAACCAAAGAACATTAAACAGAAAATGAAGGATGCAGTAAGTATTAGCCTTCTTTTAATTAAATGATATCGGAAATATTTAGAGACTGAATTCGAGTGTTCAAAGTCTGATTACTTTTCTGTTCTGCATAAAGATGCCTTTATTAAATTACCCGATAAGTGATCGTTTCGACAGGAAACCTTGACCATATAGGAATGCTACAAACCAAGGCCCAAATCCCAAGTTATCGACTTGTGAAAATGAAACAGCTTGAAGCCCTGAGTATTACAATAGCAAACTTGATTAAATTATTCCCTAGGTGTAGGAGCTGGACAGCCACTGATTGTCCCTCCACATGGCCACTGTTTTAATTCTTCTCAACAAGCCTGCTTTGACCAAATCACATGTTATCTAATTCATACTAATTTTCCACAAGGTCTTCTCTACATCTGGTGTATATTACTTTCATTATCCTAATTAGCTATTAATTATGCTTTTCTTGCAATATATAAAATGTACGTGCACTCTTGCAAGAACTGCATTTGACAGATATTCACACTTACTTAACTTTAACAGCTCCACCTAAAGACAAAAACTGTAATATCAAAAATGTCTTAAAGTGACAAATTAAGTATTTGGGAGGGAAAACAGATTTGCTTAAAGTTTTTTTTTTAATTTGGATGGTGATGCACTATTATATTAAAAATAATGAAAATTCCATGCCACATTTTTATGGAAAATTACCTAGCACACAGCACCCATAAGCTTACAAATAAGTTCATGCCTTAAATCATACAAAGTCTGCCTTCTTCCTTGACTTTCATGAAAATCTGTATTTTTGGCCAACTTGAGCGCTCTCTTACAGACCCAGGTTTTCTTACTGCTTTTATGTACGGCAGGAATTTAAAGGGTGGTGCCAATATGTTTACCCAACAGTAAATGAAAAATGATGTCAAGGCATGAACTTTTGAAGATGCCTGTTCATGGGTCTGCTATGTACAAGAAAGGTCTAAGAACCAAAACTGAAGGTCAGTACCTATGTTACCATCTACAGCCCCTATATCAATGCAGGTGTGTAAGGAATGGGTACTAATATGTGGATGCTGAAGGAGAGCCCCATTATCTACATCTCAAATGGGCTAGGGAGGCTCTAACACACTAGGATTGTAAGCAAGAAATCTAACCACGTTTCTTATCCTAAAATGCCCCGCTGGTGCCCATGTAGGTTGAGAAGGGAGGAAGGTGAAACCAAGGCACACACTGAACTGAACCAGCACCATAACCTGCAGCTGCAGTCACTTCATCTAGTAAATTCAGTTGAAGTGTAAAGAACTACCCAGCACCTGGGCCCTGTAATTTCCTGGGAAAAGATAGTCCTTTCAAGATAGATGCCCTGAGCATTATACCAAGGAAAGATGCTCTGATTCTCCACGCAGAATTGGTACAAAGAATACAGCATCCACAAATCTGTTAAATATTTATTGAATCTCTGTTCTCTGTAATGAATTGTGCAAGCTCTAATAAGATGACCAGAATACAAATATGTGAAAGATAATATCCTGCTCCAAAGACCTTACAATTAAAAAAAAAAAAGAATTAGCATGTATTATAGTAAATTCAGTTCTAGAATAACATATCAGTGTATTCATACAATTTTCTTGCACTTATTTTTTTAAGAGTTATGCATTCATTTGGGAATCAGTCCAGAGTGTGCTATGATTAAAAAATAACTGCTTAGCTATAAGGAAAGATGCATCTGAGTCATTTGTAGGAAAGTGGATGTACCGTGAGATTGTATCATTAAATGAAACAAATCAGACACGCAAGCTTAAAAATCACATGGTTTCTCTTATTGGGAAACTCAAACTGTAAATAAAGAACAAAATAAAAGATAATAGGAAGTAGGAAGAAAGATCTTTCTCAAATCAGAAGGGAATCAAGAGATGGAGGGAAGGGAGGAAAAGAGGTTGAAAAGAGGAATTAACATGTGTTGAGTACTTGTACCCACTCCAATTAAGGTATATAAACATGTACTGCAAATATGCGCTAATAAAAATAATTTTATTAAAACATAAATGCTTAGGAACAAATGATATTTCATTAAAGTATGCACATCTATTGCTTGACAATATAAGTAAATGGGACAAGAATATAAGCAAAAAAATCACTAATATACATTTATTTCCTTGAAATTATCATATTATTATATGATCAGGTATCTGTAGTTCACAAACCCTAAATCAATGAAAAGAACAAACTAATCTGTTAGGCAAGTTGATTTCATGATTTTAGTGCAAAGGCAATGCCCTGAAACTCACTGGATGTCAGAATTTTTATGAGGATAGGCATTCCTAGGCTGGATATGTCTAGCTTTAATGGAAATGCTTCTGCAGGGTAATCTTGTTGCTTTGTGAATGTAGCATTCTTCTCCTCCTGTCAGTGAACATTTAGATGCTGCAATTCCATCAAGATCAACCAGGAACTATCACCCATGGAAATGTTAATGGATGTGTCCTACCGGGGCTCCTCTCACATTTATAAAAACTGCTGCAAATTGTTGCTTGGATTTCCCTAAATCAAAACAGCCCCAAAATCACTCTATGCGCTAGGGAATTTCTTAGCTCTAGTAAGAAATATTTCTTAGCTCTAGTAAGAAATAT